AAACAACAACAAAAAAATAAGCCTTACCAGCACAAAGTTGGTAAGGCTTATTTTTTTTGTGTTGTGAGATTAGAGTGTGACTTATCGCGTTGCCTCGTAAGCCAAAATACCCATACCAACGATAGCTAATATTCCTACCGTCAACGATAATTTTTCGTCTTGGTGAGTTTGTAGTTTCGTGGGCTCGTGTGTTAAAACTGTAGGTGTTGGTGTTGGTGTTGGTGCTGGTGTTGGTGCTGGTGCTACAAAATCGTTTGTCATAGGCTCTAGGGGTGTTGGTGGCGCGACATCATCGGTGTCATCAAAAGAGTCGTCCGGCTGAGGTTGTGAGTTTAAATCTAACACCAAACCAGTTTTCATACTCTGGGTAGCGATTTGAAGATTGTTGTTATAACCGTCGTGCGTTCCAACCCTCAAGTTCATATCCGATGGAATTAAATACAACCCCGGTTTCACAACAAAATTTAAAGGCGTTCTGGCATACTGCAAAGAGTCTTGAAATTGATCGATACTCGTTTCCATGTCGTCTACTGCATTGATGATATCTTCAACGATGACGTTAAATTGTCTCTGAGCGTCTAATCCGGTGCCCGGTGATAATACGCTCGTTTTTGTTTGAGCCTGCGCACCGAGTAAAGCGTACACGTAAGATCTGATCGATTCGTTGATCTTTATGATTCCCGCGGAGGTAAACGAACTCTTGGCGGGTATAAAATCTAACCAAGCCATTTTGACGATGTCGTCTTGTTCGAGATAACCCTTCCAATGCTTAAAAAAAGCATCGTGTTTTTTTGGATCGTCTAAACCCCAATTTTTATCACCCGTGGGGTTGATAAAATCGTCGAGTGTGGTCGTGTTTTTATCATAGTCTAACGGCAAGAGTAAAAATGATTTTGTTTTTTCGTTCCAAAGAAAAAGCCGACCTAAGCCATAAGTCTTTTGATCTCTCGTCTGTTTAAAAGACTTATTTTGATCGATGGCAAACGTCCGACAGATGTTGGTAAATGCTCCACGATCATAGGTGTTGCTGAGAGCGTCAAACGAGTCTTCTCCCGGTATTGCTACGGCCATGTCGTTTAATATCCTTCTCACCGTAAAGTATAGATGAAAATTAAATAAGGCTTTAACGTAACGGTTGTTCGAGTTTAAAATATCGATTCCAACACCACAGCCCGTTGTAGCGCAATAGATCGCAAAGTTTAACTGATTTTGATAAAAAGACATGGGGTCTATTTTCCAACGAAGTACAGCATCGTTGGTATTGAGGCGAGATATTTTATAGTCCGAGATTAAGTCGGGAAACGGGGTTAAAAACGTGTTAGACGCGTTGACTGTAATCTCGAGTTCGCCAGTGAGATACGGACTGTCTAGTACATGCGCTGGGGTGGTAGCTTGTCGTTTAGCTACATTTTGATTTACTTGTCTCGTTACCTGATCAGCTATCGATTGTATCTGCTTTTTTAACGACTTAAAATCACTCATTATTTTAGTTTCAGTTTTAATATAAAAAGACTTTAAAATAAATGCATTCGTTTCACTTGTTTCAAAATGAGCAGACGTTTAAATTAGAAGACGTCGTAGATAATTTAAACGGTCAAAAATCTATACGCGTAAAAAGGGTGTTGTTTAACGCAGGATATTTTAATATTTCCAGCGCCACGGAGATTGATTGGTTTACGCAAATAGATGGGAGACCCGCGTTTACCACAGATAAACCTCCCCCCATACCCGCGGAGTTTCTTTCAGATGTACACATAAGAACGCCGGATAGAGATTTTATAGAGCGATTGTTACCCGATATACCATACCACTTTTTAATTAACGATGAAAATGTTTTACAAAAAACTATAAACGATCTTATAAAAGCGTACGAAGACGATAGACTAGAATCCGTTTTAGAATCAAACAAAAGAAAAAGAGCTATTATAGCTGAACGGCGAGGGTTGATTTTAGCCGCCATGAATTCAGAAATACCAAAAACTGAATTAGAACTTAATACGCTTCAATCTTTAGTAAGAATATTATTTGTTAGAGAAAGAAAAATCTTTGAAGGTGAGGAATTGGCTTTAAAGTTTATTGAAGGAGAAATGGGTGCGAGCGAATTGAGCGAGTTGAGAGATAGTAGGGAAGCAGGGGTAATTATAAGGGGAAGTCTTATCGTGACGGGTGAGGATTTAGATTTTATTCCTCCGAGTCATTTAGAGCCGTTGCCACTCGGAGTCACCGGTTCGGTCATCATAGCACCGGGGTGGTACGACGTCGATTGGTTCGATTTCATTTTAAATTCTATACCCGGGGTAAGTTTTCGAATATTTAGAGAATCTAAAAAGGTGACGTTGGTGATAACCGACGTCAATCTCAAATTGCGCTTGAACAGAGAAGTATCTCGATTACTCAATTTACCCAAAGGAAGACTGGTACCCAAAGTGGTGTATACGGGGTCTTACGACGTTAATCCGTTTAAATTTTTGTTTATTCACTGCCCGCAATTAAGTACGAGTGAAAACTTTTTTAATGGTCGTCCTTCTGACATCTTAAAAATCGTACCCGTGGCTACGCGCAAACCCGATATTGATAGAGCCGAGGGATTCAAAAATCTTAAAAACGGTATAATCGACAAACTGACATTTTCTATCAGCGGTGAAAAAGGACAGGTATTCAACAACAAGGGTGAGGGTATCATTATCGAGTTGGAGATCTTTTAATTTTAAAATCTTTTTATATTAAAAACATGAGTGTAGATGGTAAGGCGTTATACCCCGATATTTCTGGAGATGTACTCCGATTAAATAGTAACGAAGAAACAAAAGTGTACAGACTTAAAAAGATTGAAGAGATTCGATCTTTAATCTTGAAAGAGAGAGACCACCGAGAGCGCACTTATAAAAAAATAAAGAGAGTGATCGACACTATTAATTACGTAGAGATAGGATTAGAAGGATTGGGGGTTGTAGCGGGGGCTGTCAGTATTCCCGCTCTCTTGGGTGTTATATCAGCCCCCGTTGGATTGGTGCTAGAAGGAACGTTTATAGGCGCTTTTGGTGTAGATATTCTGCTTAGAATCGCGTCTAGGCGATTATCCGCCAAGCTAAAAAAGCACGACCAGATTAAGATATTAGCAGACTCCAAACTTAACACGATTGAAGAATACGTGTCTCAAGCCATCAACGACGGAGATATATCGCACGAAGAGTTCTTATTGATTACGAGAGAGCTCGCCAAATTTAACGAGCTTAAGCAGAAAATTAGAACAAAGACCAGCACAAAGCTTCAAAAGATTAAAAACGATACAGACTTTGAAAAAGAAGTTAAAAAACGGGTAGACGAACGGCTGGCAAAAGAAAAAAAATCTCTTATCGAAAAACTTACAAGTTCAAATTCTCGGTAAATAAACATTATGAAAGCGAACCACCGAGTTATACCTCTATTTCACCTCTTAGGGCTACGCCCTCGGCCCCGCCTTTATTGTAGTGGTCATCGTATATTTTTAGTGCTTTATTAAATTGATTTTGAGTCACTTTAAATAAATCTCTAACTCGTTCTTTGTCTAATCCAACGACGTGATGATAACACGCCGCTATTAATGACCGTTTGACGCAACCATTTCCCCTCAATGTTTTGTAATTAACGAGCTCGTTATATTTATTGATTGTTTCTTGGACATCTTCTGAGTCTTGCTCTGGACAAACAGACAAAATAAGTTTCTCCACAGTTTTTCTTTTGTTTCTCTTTAAAGTTGACCAATTGATACGATCTTCTTGCACATTTTCTGCCGAAAAATCAAAATAACGTGAAACTATTTCACCGCACGTTTCACAAATTAAAAAACCATTCTCGATGATTATATGATGATCGCACTTATCCCCAAGTTGTGACGTCCCAAAGTATTCCATCTATTTAATAAAAACCGATATTATTTTTTATTCATTTTTCAAATACTCGTCGGTCTAAACATATTACTCTCCATTTTTATATTAAAAAACAGCTCCTCACCTTTTACAGGGTAAGGAGCTAATTTTTTTTGTCTCGAGTTTCAAGGTCACGTTGTGGTGACTCACACACGTTTCAAGGTCACGTTGTGGTGACTCACATATTTTTCAAGGTCGCGTTGTTTACGCCAAATTTATATCGTGCCTCAACACGTTTCAAGGTCACGTTGTGGTGACTCACATATTTTTCAAGATCACCTCATTTTAGCGACGACAGATTTTTTTATTTTTTTTTTCTCTCTCTCTCCCGGCGTCAGATTTTTTTTTTTTTTTTTTTTTTTCTCCCGGCGTCAGATATTTTTTTTTTTCTCTCTCTCTCCCGGCGTCAGGATTGTTTTTTTTTTTTTTTCTCCCGGCGTCAGAGATATTTTTTTTTTTTTTCTTTTTTTTTTCTCTCTCCCGGCGTCAGATATTTTTCTCTCTCTCTCTCTCTCTCTCTCTCTCTCTCTCTCCCGGCGTCAGATTTTTTTTTTTTTTTTTTTTTTTTTTTTTTCCCTCTCTCTCCCGGCGTCAGAGATTTTTTTTTTTTTTTTTTTTTCTCTCCCCCACACCCGGCGTCAGATTTTTTTTTTTTTTTTTTTTTTTGAGATCGGGGGATTCCCCTATATTTTTCCCCAACTATTTTTAGAATCGAGAGCGGCGTGCTCAGGCTTGCCGCAGATTTTTCCCATTTTGCTCCGGTTCCCCCACCTCCCTTACTACTATTGCCTTGGCACTTTAGTATTATGAGCAGTTACCCTGCTAAATGCAACAAGATGCAACAAGCACAGGGACTTGAGTTGCCTGTTAAATGCAACAGTATATTAGTATGCAACAACTTTTTACCTTTGTTGCTTTCTGTTGCATTTTGCAGGGTCAGGTAAAAGGAGCCTTATATATTTGCACCGGGCAAATTGATTATTCAAAACTCCTCTCCACTGCATCTTCTCCCTCGTCTTTTACCACGTGGTTCAATTTTATCAATGCTGAGTTTAAAGTAACCTAACATGTTTTTGTTTTCATTTTTAACAGGAACATTTGCATTGCGTTGCTGACCAAGCAAGGTTACTGACCAAGCAAGGAGCAATTATGGTAGGTTGCTAGACTTTGAATGTTGTCATTTTAAGGGTCAGTACAATTAGGGTTTTTAATATAAATTAAATTTAAAATTAATTTTAAATAACACCTTGAACTTGAGCCAAGACATTGAGTTACGTAAATAGTTGTTTGGGTAGACAGCTTTATATAATTGTTATGGTCCTAAAAATCACAAAATTCAGTTGTGGTTGTTTTGAAGAAAAAAATCAGTTCTATTAATGTACATCTACAGTTGTGAGTAAGTTTGGTAAAAACCAGTTACAAAAGAACTCAAAGGAAGCCCTTTTATTTTCTAATTATCTCTGTAAATGCCACACAAAATCTCAGTAGATGCATCAGGCTAATAGTGACAGTGAGATTACTGAAACTTGTATCTTGTCTCAAGTGTTCTACGTTGAATGTTGAACTGACTGGTAGATGGCCTATTGAAGATACATGCACACAAGTGACATCAGTGTATTTGACTTCTTTTTGTTTACTTGGTTCATAGGCTGGAGTACGGAAATTGAAGCCTTTGTTTGATCGTATCTTAGTGGAGAAATTTGCTCCAGAATTGAGGACTAAGGGAGGCATTATGCTGCCTGAGAAGTCTCAGGCTAAAGTACTAGATGCAACGGTATGTGCTGTAGGTCCTGGATCCAGAAACCAGGTAAGTGGTTCTGAAAGACATGGGGCCAATACAATGATATCGCTAATAATGGTTGGCAGAAAATCTGAAGCATACTTCATAGCATGACTTGCTTTGCATGTATGGAGATTTCTACTGCTGGCTCAACTATTTGAAGTAAATTCTGCTGCTGAAGTTGGCATGCTTTTGCTGTGCTTTCTGCTATCAGTCTCTGTGAAACGGATGCAGGCTCTATTTGCAGAAGTTCATGTGCTAATCAGCGACACGAAGTTAGGCACTGAAGTGCATGTGTGAATGCCATGCAGGAACATTATACGACCAGTTCCTTCTGAAAGTGCATCCACCCATTGCATCTTCACGTGAAGAACTGAATGGAACTGGCACTTGGGTGTGTTTCAGTGATTAAATCAAAATTAACTGCAAGTGTTGATTAATGTTTAATGTCTCAAACTTACATAGTTTAGTGACAATTGAGATATAGAATAATTAATTATAGATAGTATATTCACCTTTTTTGCCCCCCCCCCCCCCCCCCCCCCGGAGTAAAGTTATCCCTGCATGAAAACTTCACATTCAACTCCTTGGACATTTTAGATACACGTAGGGAGTCAAAAGTCATCCCTTCATGAAGAAGTTACAAATTGCATTCATCAGTCAGTGCAAACTGTACTTTGATTGTGCAGTTGGACGTTACTTTTCAGAGGCCAGATCTACTAACTTCCTATTATGTCTCAATTTTTTTCAGAAAGGAGAAACAATGCCAGTGAGTGTGAAAGTTGGAGACAGGGTTTTACTTCCTGAATTTGGAGGAACTAAAGTTTCCCTTGAAGAAAAAGTAGGTTTACAGTTTGTTGCAAGTTCCCTGTGAAAGTGCAAATAAAGTGACTAAAGTCACACATTTTCTCAAATACACACAATCCTTACAAGAGATATTATGTTTACTTCATGGCTTATGAAATGAATGAGGAGTATACTGCCTAAATTCGTTCCCTTTACAGTTGCAAATTTAGTCGTAGACCTTAAAACTCAAAATACTGAAATACAGAGTGGGGGACATTCTAGCCCTTCTACAGCTCGAAATAATTTTTTTTTTTTTTATTTCACCATAAGCCTTGGCTTGGCTTGGCTTATGATGTATTATACATTGATTCCTAGCTAGGATGATTCCTTTTTAAATTACAATTTAAAAACATCATGAACCTTTAGTTTTCCTGGCTTGCAAGATGGATTCACAAGACATCCCAAACAGAAGGTCTACCCATATCGAACTCATATTGAGAATCATCAATAACTGTGTGGATGGTTGATCAACTTTGATTAATTCTCACTCTATTGAATGATCAAAAATATTTGCAGTCACTATGAACTGTACTTACTTGTTTCTCAAATGGCTTAGGTTTTAACATGAAATTGTTTTTCTTGTTGCAGGAGTACTTTTTATTTAGGGAAGGAGATATTCTAGCCAAGTGGGAGGAATCTGCCTGACATTGATGTTGCAATCTTGACATAGCTGTAAACATTGTAATTATAAAGCCACCCAAAGCGAGACCAGACAAAGCCGGTGTATTAACTGTACATCTCCCTGTCAGCTATGGACACATACACACCCTGCACTTGTATAGAAATGTTGAATACAATGTTGATTGGAACAAGATGATCCGACAGGCTGAATGACAGTTCAAGTCAGTTATAGGGACTATTGATGTGCTGTCTGATCACAGATGCGTTCCACAAAAGACAGTGACTTTATGAGGATTATGTTGCATTTTATTTCTTATAAATCTCTCTGTTTAAATATGATTGACATAATACGTAAATCATGCTGAATTATATATTTACACACCTGCCCGATATTCTTAGACTGTCATTGTTTTCCAGGCTGATGGCCTGTAGTGTGTTTTCAAAAATATGTGAGATTTGAGGTTGCATTAAGTGTTAAGTATATGGTAACAAAAAGATTTAACATAACATGAGTGATTTTACTTCAGAGTGTAGAACTGTGCTTAGACATTAGACTTTTCCTTACCATTTATCATATTTGTCATATCAATTTTTTTTCTGTTAGTAAATTCAAATTGATATCTTATCAGAGCAGTTTTGTGTCTAATTTTACACTATGGTACTATTTTGCCAGTTACTGCATGCAGCACATTGACCCAGCTTGGCAGGTGTAGTATTCCATATACATGTACACATTAATTTTATTGGTCTATTCATGGAAGCGTGCTCATATTTGGCAAAAAGGAATCTAACTTATCCATTACCAAATTTATATTCTGTTAAAGTTTGTATGGTATATTGGCTGAAGACCATCAAGTAAAGTCCAGCAACCTTTTCTCTGTTACTTTTGTTACTGACAATAAAAAGTAATTTCTTTGGCCATGTCTGCAGTCATACTGTTGTTTTACAGGATGCATGAGTAATTGGGTTCTCTCCAGAAATGGCCTTAGAGAGTTTGAATGTAGGCCTTAATTTGTTTCAAGTTCCCAACACCACACTAAATGGCATCAGTAAGGGAGGGCTTGATGTGACCGACTTACAATCATGGTATTCATTCAACACTATAATGCAGTTAACAATTGACGTCTGCTGTGATGTGGGATATGACATTTCAACACCCAAGGGGCACAAAGCACCCGTGACCCTGGGTTAATATACTACATGAAGTTGGGACTTCTTACTGCAATTACTCAATACTGTTGTATGATTGCTTGTATCTTGGAAAAATGCGTGGCTGATCTTAATCTCATTACATAAAAAGTGAGGTTTTAAAAGCTTTTTTTAATACCCTATCCACAGGAGCGTACATTGTGATTTTCAATAAAAAAAAATTCAGTGTAATATTTGGAAACATTTTGCTAACAATTGTGTTTATTTTCCATTTGTCTTGAATTTCTCATGTTATTCATTAGACTGGAATGGCATTGTTTACCAAGTGAATCTAGTGTCCAAAAAAAAAGGTAACCCACCGGATCTTACTCGCGTTGCACTTAGGAGGATTTTTGGTAGTGATGTAAAATTGAGGATTTTTTTTAAGTATGGCATGTGTAGGTGCCCATGTTGTTTCAAATGTCAAATTAAACTAAACGTGGACTGATTTTTTGGTTCAATGTCTCCTTCAAAAGAGCTTTTGTATATACAGAAAATATATACAGTACAAAATTTAAACACTGAACTTCCAAAATCAATAGTCAAAAAATGAACGCAATCACGTCGGATTAAAACAGGAGAAGCTTTATTTTCACGGGGTCATTTCAATCCACTCAAATGTCGTGCACACAAGTTAAACTGCAGATCAACACATCTTGTATGTAATGTGTAACATCTTTTTAGACACTATCATTCTTATTTCATTCAACACAATACATTGTCTTCATTTAATTTTACATACATTCTTTTCATGAGGCTGTGAATGAAATACATGTATCCTCTGAGATTTCTTCTTTTTACCAAAGTCCACTTTATGCTGCAATTATTTATTACTTCAATAAACAACTCAACAAATTTTGAAAATGAAACAAATAACTGATAACCAAATTAACCAGAAGTAATTGCTACTGTGATAACAGCTGCATTTCTGACACAAATCTCTTTTGTATAATACAGTAAAAAACTTGTCAGTTACAGTCATTGAACTTTCAGTGCAGTGAAAATCAGGGTTGAATTCCACATAAACAAATCTTGTAAACACTTTATGAATGATAAGTGAGTGGAACACACCCTGGCTGGAAAGAATGAACTAGGTTGGTGGCAATGTTCAATCCTAGCAGAGTGGATGAAAAGAGACTGGATGAGCAATGTACATGTATGTCCACTGTATAAAACCAGATGTACGGCTTTGCACGATGAAGTGTGCAACTTGGCAGAAGTTTGTGAGATACATTATGTAAAGTTAAGTATAAAAGGGTAAAGAGGATGAACCTGTGTTTACAGGGAATGGATTGCCCATCTCTCTTTTTTTTAGCGATTGGGCCAGACTCGTATGCTGTTGTGTGGGAATCGCCACACCTGCTCCACAGTGAGTCTGTTACTTTCCAAGCATTGAATAATGCTGGTGCCCATTTCCCATTTAACACCTGGGTTGAGAGGAGTAATTGAGGTAAAGTGCCTTACTCAAGGGCACAACACGCAAGGGCACAACACGCATGGGCACAACACGCATGGCCACAACGGGCTCGAATCCACAACCTCACGATCATGAATCCTGTGCTCCACCGCTAGACCACACGTGGCCATTATGTGAAGTAACTGTCTTGAAAAAGAGAGGGTTGACTCTTCTAGTTCTCCGCACTACCTCTCTTTATGGGGATAGTTTACATTGGTGGAACTGCAAACCAAGTTTTAGATGTGTAGAGTTGTTATTACCCCTCATCAAAATGTTATATTGTTCAAGGATAAAATTGGCATCATGGACAAAACACAACAATTGATATTTCCCAAAGCAACCTTTTGAAAAATGAATTTGTTTAGAAAAAGAATGAGGTTGAAATGCTATGTGGAATTGAGATGAAACACAAACGTGTACTATGGAGAACTACATGAGTGTCAGCCTAATTAAAATGTTAGGGTATATATATTTAAATTATTTACAATGTTCACAAAATGCCAATATACAGCTCTTAGTATTATATGCCAATGAAAAGACTGTTGATTAAAGCAATCATATATTCTTCACACTTTTGTTGTCAGAGAATACTAAGAAAACACAAACTTTCAAAACGAAACTACGGGTATGAAATGATCACGGTACTCATACATATTCATGATGTAACTTGGCATATCATGCAGTGTGATGGAGTGGTTTTTCTGCATGTTAACTTACCAAAAATGCATCACGCATGACATTATTGCACTCATACATGTCAGCAGTGATGAGCAAGTACTAATCTCAGAATCTACTAAATGCAACTCTTATTTTTTGATGAACAAACGAGATTAAAATCTAAAAAAAAAGTTATGAATATGCATGAGGTAAAGTGTAAAAACAATTCAGTATCATTGTAATTGGTGGTAGGCAAGTAAAAGCAATGAATTTCACTTACTGTAGAAATGTATGTGGACTTTTGAGTTACAACAATTCGGCCATCACAGGAACTCAAATTGCCTATACTCTACCCCGGAACCATTTCAACATTTTATGTTTCATTTTAATCAGTTTATTGTAACAGATTGTACAAAAACCCTTGACAGCATTTCCTTTCTAGAGCCAAAGTCCTCTACTCTAAGGATGTTTATAACCTAACATGATGCTGCACGTACAAGTATATATCTCTTAGTCTTATACCGGTACATGTACTGCTATATATCTCAGGCAATATGAACACTGCTAATAATCTAGAACCAAATCCTCCATGGAAACATGCTATCTCTAGTCAAAAAAGTGTAGGGGCCCAAGCCTTGCATAGGTAGTGTACAAATGTGACCATGTGACCATTAAAGGTTGTAAAGTTGCACATGTTGATTATGCATTACAGCACAAAAAGCTAACAGTTAGAAAATATGGCCAGGAGTCAATCAGAAATGAAGTGTTTTGATATTCTCCTTCCGTTCTGAAAAATCAGGAATGATTGACATTCCAAAACTAGTGAATATCAGTAAGCCAACTTTGAAGCCAGTTCATATGGAAATCTAGTAAATGATAGTTGAGTGACTTTAAAACACATAACTTGGCATAGAAAAGAATTTTGTATCAAAGCTGATGATACCATTTTTTTCAATTATGCATTAACCTAGAAAGTGAAATGTTCAACTTCACAGCCCATTGGTGGGAGACGTCACAAATGTGAGAGTAGTCTTTACGCTACAGTACAATATAATCTCCTAGCCACGAGGGGTACACGGTGCACTAATACATCCCAAAACTTTTTTTCTAGCTCTATGTAGATACATCCCTTGTAGAAAGACACTATTAACAACACATCCAAATTTTAAAAATGCTTTCCCTTTTCCCCTTATAAAAACCACCTACGTCCATATCTTGGTAAGCCCATGAAGACAAAGTTGACAAAAACAACTATTGCTGGAGGTCAGATCAAACTGTTTATCATTTATGAATAACATACGGCAACTTAGTAAATGTAACATTACTTGTTGTTTGCATCAATATGCCCAGTTCAATATTGCAACTGCACATGCATGCATCAAGATGATTGATGATTTGTTTTCTTGAAAATCAACAGTCTGCCCTATGAATGCAAAGTCACAGAAGGTACCATCAACATTGAATTAAAGTGTCATCTGGAAGCACATACAAAATCCTGAAAACTTTGAACTGCATTCGTTTTTTCTGATAAGTGGCAGAATTGGCGATTGCAGATTCGTTAATTATTCCCCAATAGACATGTGTACATTTATCTGTTGCATTTACACGCAACAGAAAATCATCAGATCTTGAAGACAGTTGAAATAACGAACTGGTTTGCAATCTACTGAACTAACAATGGAAAGAGATTATGGCTGCATGCGTAAAATAATCAATCACTGTATCTAAACTGCATTATAGTCACACATTACAATTATAACTATGGTTATTCTGTGTCCTTATAGGCATTGACAACATATTTATCTTTTGTACAATGTCTGATCATAAATGAACATTACTGAATGAACATACATGTACAACAAAATGGCAGAAAATAGGCTCATCTTGAGTGGATCCACTTAATATACATGTACAACACCTGGTGCTGAACACGTCCTTTTTAAATTGCAATACATGTAGTTGTTTTACTACCAGGATGTGATTGGGTGCTTGATTTACTTTGCTCCCACCAGTTTCATCAGGCCAGGTGTGCTCATTGACTTGGGTCGTTCCAGGGGCAGACCGAGGGCGCGATCCCACACCATAGATGCCATAGTGCCCAGTGCTCGGGACACACCAAACAATACTGTATAGTAGCTCATCTCTGTCATGCCATAATGCTGCAAAAACACACACAGGAATGACCAAAACATGCTCAGAAATTATGATGGGCCTAAGCAGTCTTGCCGACACTTTCATTCAGGGTAAGTCGAATTTGGGAAAGTAAAAGTCAGATAAAAAACGCTTGTCGTTTATATCAGGATGGCACTGTACATCTTCAGCGTGTTGCATAGTTTTCGGTTATATATAGTTATATATTTTCGGTGTTGGTACAGCTCTCTCTTTTTTCCTAATAAGCTGTAGTGGCACCAGACTCTGTAATTTGGGAGGGGAGGGGCAAGTGATGGACAATGGGGAGATGGATTTTCAGCCACCTGTGAAAAATTAACAAAAAGGGGGGGGGGGAGGGAGGGTGCTGGAATGAGGGAGCAAGGGTAACAATTTTTGAGGGCCAACTCCCCCTTTCGACCAGCACTGCCACTACCAATCACCACTAAGGAAGCACCACCCTAGGGTATGCCAGGCTGTGTATTTGACCAACTAGGCTACAGATCAAAGTTTAATATGATTTAATACATAGCTGAGGCCAAAAAAAAAAAGTCTCCGGTTTCTGGTATGGAGCTTGCCCCAAAAGTGGTGCGGCGACGCGGCTTTTTTTTTTTTTTTACCTGTTTTTTTTTTTTTTTTTGGCTTCAAATGTCGGCTGATGACTGCAAATGGTGCCCAACTAAACTTAGTGCAAATATATGGGAGTCCAGAGAGGCCACATAAAGCTTATTCTCGATCATAACCCCATCTAAAAACACGTTATAATTGTGCAGCAGCAGGATTCCAGTCAAACCAGTGAGTTTGGCGGTTTTGAGACATCATCTTGTATTGAAAAAAAAAACTTTTTCATTTTGCCGACGCGCATGGCTACGGCGACGCGCGCGCATACCAGAAACCGGAGACTTTTTTTTTTTTGGCCTAACAGACTGTTGTCCAATGAATTTGAGTTAATCAGAACTGATATTGCATGACCTATATGACTGCTAAGTTTTTTTTTTCCTATGGAAGTTGTTATTCTGATATTCACTTTTTAATGGAAGAAGTGTGTAGTAGCTCTACAAAAAAAAGTAGACCTAAAAAAAAAGTATGTTTGAAAAAAAAAATGTTTAAAGTGTCTGATACTGAATCATTTTCAAAATGTACAAAGAAAAGTGAGCCGAGGGTTATTCAAATTTGAGACCTCCTGAACAACCTAGTTATGATAGATGAATTGGCCTAGTCTGTTTCTAATGTAATTTCATGTTATTAAGCAAATGTCACAAAAATCCCCAATTTTATTTTTAACTTATTATATTTTTGGAATACACACTGTATACACTCTTCCAGAAAATTCCTCAATCGAATACTGGGTTTTGCTTGTCAAATTCTTAATCCCATCGTCATTTCATTCTTCATTTTGGACATCATACTTTACAACTACGATCAAGTGTGTGTCCTTTTTCTTGCTTACCTGCAGGAGTACCCCACTGTGTGCATCCACATTGGGCCAGGGGTTCTTAGCTTTGCCGTGTTCCAGCAGGGTATCAGGAACCACTTTATACAGCTGAGCTACCAGCTTAAAGAGAGGGTCGTCAGGCAGGTGCTTCAGAGCAAACTCACGCTGACAGGTGTATCTGGGATCTGTCTTGCGCAGGACAGCATGGCCATAACCTGGTACAACCTGCCATGATAATACACAGATACTAAGCTTTAGAGAGTGTGCAACACTACAGCGATTAGAATGCTTGAAAATTCAGGTAAGGGGAACTACATTAAGTTTTTGGTGGCCATGACTTCTTTTTGTCATGCGCATGCTGCAGTTAATAGCCATAGCTGTATCTAACAATGCCCGTTTCGGATACAAAATTCATTAAATCCTAGGACAGTTACAAAACATCCTCTTAATTGTAATCCCTTCAAGAAAACCTTCTGAATTAGTTCATCAAAGCAAAAGTACTGCCTGTCTGTTTGTGCTTCAAGACAATTATTCCTGTACCTGTCCTGATTTGAGAGTGTTCCAGATGAATTCTTTCAGCTGGTCATCTGATACCTCTCCTCCAAGCTGCTCCTGAAGCTTAGTGATCCACACCAGAACCTCCTGTAATAATAACCATGCAGTTATGCAATTAGCAATAGTCTCAAATATTGATGAAAATTTCAACAAGTCTTGAAAAGTACACATGAATGTATGGCAGATTAAAACCTTCCTATGCAAATATACATTTTGTGCCAAGTTGTCCTTTCAGTAAAAATCAATCAAGTGACTGTTTTCAACAGTTAAGAGCTCCCACCCCACATAAAGCAGGATTGACTGGCTGTGACTGTTTACGTAACTTGATAAAGCTATGCTTTGACTGTAGATGATTGATAAGCCAGATGTGCCAACCACTTGTTTTTGTCTGTTGACTGAATTTGACTAGTCACAGTGCTTGCTTGAAATATGATTTGACTGTTGGTGACTAGCCTGTGTAAAAGGCGTGGCAGGGGAAGAGAATTGAATTTTTGACTGTCTATGACTGTTCAGATAGTAAGAGGGCTCATACATGTATCATGTAATAAGAGTGTAATCAAATCACCATGTATTACTCGTGATTGTATGCCTGACATAATACATGCTACAAGTAATGTTTTCTGTGATGTGCTCCATTGTACATTTGTCATTTGCTATGATTTTGATCCAAGATTCAATGGGGATAAGTGGCTCCAAGGCAAAGCCAATGGTGTCATTTGTCCCTGACAGTGTGTATAAAAGCCATGGACCTTTTCACAAATGTACCAAATAAGTAACAATACTCTTACTAAATAAGTCATAGTGGGGAAGACAGGAATTTATGCACCGCACTTTATAGTCTAGGGGCTAGACGTTGTTATGGTTTGATACGCGATAAACCGCCGCCACGAGAGGGCGCTATCACGACCAAACAATATCGCCCACGGACTTGTCAGAACAACGTCTAGGGAATCTGCTGAAATCTCCCCCGAAAATGGAGGAAACTAGTGCGCATGCGCGACTTCTGCAGGCAATTGTGGTCCATTTTCAGTCCTACACACATGTATAACAAAAGAGCTGACCAGTGAAGTTGCACAAAGGTCTTGCCGCATCATTTATTGCGATGGAAATTTGAGAGTCTGCTTCAGAACTACTATAATTCTTTTGAATTTAGGCCGCATATATTAGGCCAAACAGGTGCGCGCGCATTACACAACCAATACCAGTTTCCCTAGACGTTGTTCTGACAAGTCCCTGGGCGATATTGGTTGGTCGTGATAGCACCCTCATGCAGCGGCGGGTTATCGCGTTTCAAACCATAACAATGTCTAGCCCCTAGACTACGCACTTTAGTGCTAAGGTCCAATGCTTCAGGCATTGATTCTCACGTTTACGATGTAACTCAAGCACATCCGTGTTGACATGTATGATCGATAATACCTACAAGCAGAGAGGACTGACCTGATTGGCTAATCCATGTAAGGGTCCAGCCAGACCATTCATGCCTGCAGCTAAACTCAGGTAGGCATCCGAGAGAGCACTCCCAACCAGATGAACAGTGTGAGCACTCACATTGCCTCCTTCATGGTCACTAAAGTCAAAGGAATTCACACATTTACAAACATTTTATTTGAATTATTCCTATCAATTCCCTAAACTCATGGTGCTAATTCAAGAAGTTCCAATCACAGAGCTATATTAAATACCTAGAGCGCTAACTCCTCATTCCCTCGCATTTAATACTTTCAGATGTGTCCTGAGCATAAGACATATGGAATGAATGTGTGTGACCGTGATTGTACCCTTGTTTTGTTTCAATCAGGAACATGATTCCCATACTACCCGTAAATGCACATCCCTAATTGCCACATCAATATTTTAAGCACTTTCTACTTCTCTGAAGTTAGCTTGCATTCAGCTGAGCTTGCGGCTCATGTACTCAGTAGTGACATGAAATTCCGCCTTAGTTCTCAGTCATGACATGCTGGCCAATCTAAGGACATGTATACATGTGCAAATAGACAAATACTCTTTCTCATTTCTATCAATAGGATAAGTTTGACATCGTACCAGTTCATATTTGGTAGTTTATCTCTTTGAATTGCACTGAATATCACTTTCAAATTTAATTATCCTCCGTAGTAATTCACTACAGTTTGAGTTTTGGTGTCCGATATTGTTTTTGACAAATGTGTATTGATAAAATCAGCATGTTTAAAATCAGTGATGCATCAGCCAACAACTATCTGTCATAAAGTCTACACCTGGCTATAATTTATTGAGAAATCCATATTTTGAAACGGACTTGGAAAAGTAGTTGGAAAATTAGTAAGCTGCCTTAAAATTTAAGTGATTTGGAATGTAATGACATTAAGGAGACATAGGGAAGTATTAACAAATTCCTTTATCAAGTCACAGAGTCAACTTTGTGAGTGTACCTGTGAATGGTGAGGTACATCCTCAGAACTTCCTTGAACATCTCATCTTCATAACCGAGCATGTTAGCAAAGTTTGCTGACCAGTCTAGATCTACATCAATGGGGCATACACTGCTACCTTCTCGGTACACATTGCGGTAGATAGTAGCAGCTACAGTAGTCAGTTTGGCACACAGATCCATAGCATCCTCATAGGTGTACTGCATAGAGAACATGGAAATTAGAAAGCACTTTTATCTAACCGCTGTGTGGAAATCCTCTTGGTAGGGGCCTGTGAAGTGGAACTTTTTAAGGGAATTCTTCAAAAAGTAAATTCTGTTCTCAATTCCTTGTGTTGGCACTTCTTTCCATGTGTGCTTGTTCAGTCCATCTTGTATATGTTACAGGCTCCGTCCCCAAACTATACAGGGTGAGTAAATAAAAAAAAAAGGAAACCCAAATGGCAGGACAAATTATTTAATGAAGTTCTGCATGTAGCACTTTCAAAATCTAGGATATGAAAGCCCCATTAATAAGCTTTCTTTTTAATAGTACAAGAATCATACATCCCTATGAATTGTTTTCGCTCTGCTAAAATAACACTTACCTTTTTTGTGATCTGTGGACCAACTTTAAAACAGTGTTTGTGTTCAAAATTCTGTAACTTGAAAAGTACATGAGTGATTTGAATGATTCTTGTACTAAAAGAAAGCTTATTAATAGGGCTTTCATATCCTAGATTTTGAAAGTGCTACATGCAGAACTTCATTTAAAAAATGGTCCGATATTTGGGTTTCTCTTTTTTTTTTTTACTCATCCTGTAGGTCTTACCATGCAACATACACACACGGATCCAAAATGTGTTTGTGGAAAGGCAAATTCATTGTGTTCAAACGCTATTTTTATGCTTATTTTCCTTTTTTTCATTTTAGTTTATTTCATTCAAAATAATCAAGAACACAAAAATACACCACAAAGAACAATACAAGGATAAAAGCTAAACCTAAGGACCGTTGATTTCATCTGGATCATAGCCCAATAATCCAATTATAACAACACAGGCTTATTTCCTTTGGGTTTGCCATAAACCACCGACAAAACCATCATGTCATTTGAGGTAGAAATTTCAGTATCACAGCATCATAAGCACATAGAATATATAGAATATATTTTTGATAACATCCAATTGTCTATTTTTGTGAGTTTCTCTGTTGATTTGGCAGTCAGTCAATGCAATCTTTGTGCACCAACTATTACAAAGGGCTACCTTTTCGGTTCCAAATTTGTACAGAAATGCCTAAAGGTTAAAAGTGCATCCCAGCAACAGTTTATTGAGGTGCTAGCACAATGTCGTGTTTACCCACTACAGGCTGCATCATACTCAATGCAAAAGTATGGAATGGAACATGGCAAATAGAGCAGAACACATTTTAATTGCAGCAAATGTTTTGTGACATAAAAACACTTGATGCAGGTACCAGCATCCTGTAATTTATAATGTGTCACAGAATCATCCACACACAAATAGTCCAGTAAGAATGGAAAAGGACCCTGACATTTTAGTAAAAAGGCAAATTTTGGTGGAAATGCATTTATTAGGACTCCAGCTATCTCCCAAAACAATTCAACCAAAATCAACCTTGGGGAAATATGTTAATTAATAAAAACAAAAGGGATTTGCAATATATATTAGAAGGCATGTATTTCCGACAACTAAGCGAAATCCTATCCTTTGAATGAATGGGCAAAGATTCTTGCAAGTTTTCAACTTAAAATAATATAAAATGGCAAATTTACTATGATAAAAGAATTTTAAGAAAGCATTGTTGTCATCGTAGTTGGCCTCATCATTGCCATCACCCTCAAAATGCCAAATGGCTACTGCCTTCAAAACTCTTCAAATTTTTTGGAAAGAGATGCCCCTTATATATAATGAAAACGATTCCACTTATTCCACCGAATACCGTTTTCTAGTGGCGATAAGGGGAAGGGGCTATTGGGACACTATGGGCGTTTTCGAATCCCTGTTTTCGAATCCCTGTTCTTGAAAACACGCGTGTAACACGAGAACGTGTTCTCGAGCTGGTTGTTACGAACACGCGGGTGCGTGTCGCATCGATATAAAGCAATGCAAAATGGCCGACAATCGTCTGAATTTGTACTTAGTCCTATTCCAAATGAACGAGGACGACTGTTGCAAAACCGGACATGCGGGGATGAAATTGCAGACCTGCATTATAATGGTATTCTTATTCCAATCATTAGGGTATTAGCAAAAAAAAGCAAAAAAAAAAGCACAAAACAATTTACGAATCTGCACAGTCCGCCATTTTGTTCAAGCTGCTCCTCGCCGAACCCTCCATCAACCGGGAGTGAAAAAATCGATCCGCGAACGCCCTCTCGGGTCTGTTCGTCACGTTCGAGACCGCTGTTCTCGTGTCGGGTTAACCCGAGTGTTGTCAAGAACAGGGATTCGAAAACGCCTATTGTCCTCTACTGTTCAAGGCCCAATGTAATACGCCCCCAACTATAGCACAGTCCCGACTATAGTTGGGACGATCCTAACTACATGTACAATAAAGATCATCCCAACTATACAGTCGACTCTCGTTAGTACAAACTCTGTTAATACAAAATTCTGGTTATAACAAAATAAAGCCTTGGTCCTGACTGTGCATTTATGTGCACAGTGAATGGGACTGATGTTCCTCTTAATACAAAATTCTGATATAACAAACAATTTGGCTAGGTCCGAACGAGTTTGTTATAACGAGACTCGACTGTAGTAGGGAATGTCCTAACTATTATTGGGGCCATTGCTATAGTTGGGCATAGCACGTATAATACTGACGTAAGGGGAAACCCTCATACCTACCTCCCAGTACATAGCCTTATTGACTCCATCATTGTATGCCTTGGAAAACTTGCTGTCGCTATTCATAGCAGTAATGGCTGCGCTGAACTGCGACATGGGATGTAGGTTACTGGGGAAGTTATTCAGCATCTGAACAACATGCGATGGGATGGCACCACGGGCTGCCCATTCCTTAGACACTGCTTGCACCTGAACAACGAACACAACACAACAAAACAATAGTCACAATCAGAGCTTTCTTGGTCTCAGTGGTCATCCCTAATGTATCATGCAAGTAGCATTTCGGTCAAGGGCATGTATGATAAATGCAACTGACACATTTCATTTATTAAACTTACATATTTCTGGTGTCATGCAAATTTTAAAGTCGAACAAAGAAATTGACTGGAGTGGGGATTGAACCTACAACATCTGAATATACAGATGCTCTACCAGTACTCTACTGGTACTAGCACTCTTGAAGAAAGAGACGACAAGAATGGGAAACCGGCCAACATACATGTAGGGCTGGACAGCTCAGTTGGAAGAGCACTGGTAGGGTAATCTGGAGGTTGCAGGTTCAAACCCTGCTCCAGTCAATTTATTTGTTTAATTTTAAAATTGTTAGTCCGTGTCCGTTTGCGGTTTATTCGAGAAACTAACTTCCAAGTTCTTCTCTAACTTCTTAAGTATGTTAAAGATGTTTAAGATATTTGTTCTTCAGATTGTTGTCTTCAGTCCAATGAAGGGCTGTCTCAAATTCAAAATGTCGCAGAAATAAACAAATACCGCTAATAGAATAAATAGACCTTTTGAGTTATGGTGGAGTTAGAGGTAAATGGTTTTGTATTGCCTGGTAAGCACCAGTAAACCTTTAGTTCCTTCCCTGTTACTAAATTACAATCACAAAGAACACCCCCTGAAACACCTGTAAATACTCTAGGTTTCAGGATGCTCTACCTATGAGACAAGTCTAATTACCTGTTTTTCAGTTGGTATTTCTCCAGTCATCAGGAGCCAGAACAGTCCCTCCGGTAGAGGTTCCTCGCCCCCTGGAACCTTAGGCAACAGTTTCTGACATTCAGGTATTGTGTAACCACGGAAACGAATCCCTTCTTCTGGATCCAACACAGAGGTCTCTGTCACCAGACCCTTGATACCTCGCATGCCTCCATACAGCTGCACACAAACACATGTAACCATGAGAAAAGTTGAACATGAATGCTGCCTTTAGATCATGCCACAATGAGGGTGCACCGTTAGGGCATTCAATGGCATTTTACTCTAGAGACCTGAATACACCAGTGTGAATGGCAAATATGTATGACAAGGATATTGGCTAGTACCAGTACAGAACATAAAGGTCTCTGGTACAGACAGATCCGAACACTGTTTGGGTTCCATCATCATGTCTTAGGACAAAATACATGTACAAATAAAACACGGTTTGAGGGGAAGAAGTGCTAAATTACAAATCCGAAATTTACAAATCTTGAGGTTGATTTGTTGAAATGTGTAAATATCAGAGTACGCTTCAACAAATCCGTCGCCAATGGCTTGCTTACCTGGTCCACCACCACCTCACCAATCACCTTGTCGCCATAGGTTTTACGGAATTCTATCACCTCCTTCTGTTTCTTGGGTATCATGTCAGCTAACACATCCTTTAAGTTCTGTTGAAGTTGAAAGTTGATGTAAGAGTCATTAGAGATGAAACATTAAGCTTTTTTCAAACATCAATTGAATTTTGTCGATGCACACTTTTGCAGAATAATTTTTCTACAGAATATTCTTTATAGCTATATAGGGTCATTCCATGCAGTGCTGCAACTGATCCTCAAAGTTCGGTTCGGTTGCGGTTCAAATTTTTTTCTCAGAACTTCGGTTCGGTTCGGCTTCGGAAGTGCATACATAGCCTAATGTACATGTCCATACAACAAGGTATAGGGCTACAATGAAAAGCATATAGGCCGCTCCCGATCCCCTGTTCGAACAAACACGTGTGCACTGCGCACGTCTGACAGAAATAGTCATCGCAATTTCCAAATGCTAAACAACACAAGTTGAAGGAAGAATCTTATTTTTGTTGTGTAAACAAGGTACCGTTATAATTTGATTTGATGACGATGAGGAATGAAAATCGTACATTGCTACCGTGTTACCTATCCAGTTCCGTCCCGTCCGAGCATGCCCTGATGAGCACTAAAAACTTGCTTCGTGGCAATAATTGCTGATTTGTTTTGTTCTAAGAACAAACAGATCCTTTTACTGTGCCAAACTTATGAAATCATAATTATTTTTAGCAACAAGCTGACAAGTACTAGCTACCGTAACAAAACAATATAACTTTTCGATTCGTGACTGCCATGAATATTCATTCTTTACGAAAAAAAAAAAAAAATATTGCGAAAACTAAGAACTTATTCTGAACATGGGAAAGGTTTCAGACACCATAAAAAGTATTTTTTTAAAATTTTGACACGGTGAAAAAAACTTTTAAAAAATGCTGGTTAATTTTGCCAAGGAAAGCACACCCTTCATCGCAATTGGTATGGTCCAAATGTACTACGTCACGCTGGAACAAGGCGCAGCAGGGCCAGATACTGACCACACTGGATGCAAAGAGCACGCTTTTCATTAAGAAAATTGCAAGGGGCGTACGATTTTTTCAAAGCGTATCGGCCCGATATCCTATTGTATGCCTTGCTAGAACACTGCAAATAATGAAGATGAATGCGGTGACTTGTCAACATGGTAAATTCAATCACATGCACTTTAATTTTGCCCTTATATTGTAAGCATTAGCATTCCTAGCGCTATCAACAAATACTTGTCAAACTCTTCCGAACCGACTTCCGGGTTCGGTTCGGTTCGGGTTCGGTTCGGAAGGCCAAGTTCAGCTATTTTTAGTTCGGTTCGGCGGTAGCACTAATTCCGTGCCAATTCAATGGGCCATGGCACCATATGTCACAGATTTTGTTCAAACTTGGTGGAAAGATTCTGTTAGTTGCTGTATAGATGAGGTCGAAAGCAAACATTCATATTGCTTTCCATTGAGGTGTTACAGTAGCACAAAGTTCAATGAACTTTGCCAAAAAAGGGGAAACTAACTGGCCCATAGAATAAATCGCTGACTTTAAGGACCCATATCTTCAGATTGAAATAGATTTAGAAGCTGAATTTGGATACATGGGTACAACAACTGTAGTAGAGCAGGAATATAGGAAAATAATACATCATGCCTCACATCTTAATTTTAGGGGGGTCAACAATTATCCGTCATGATGCGTCACATGCATTTTTTCAAATCTTGAAGGCCCCTTATCTTGGAACTTTGCATAAACTTTTAATTTTAATGTAATCTCTGATTACTAATATTGACATTTATGTGAACGAAAGAGCAATTGTAGATGTCTTCCCTTGGGTGACCCCGAATATGGCCCCAGCCAGAAATCTGCCTTAAAATTGGCCCAAAACAAGGGCGGAAATATCTATGTGGCTCAGATGATATAATTTTCTAGGTTTTCTTTTTAGAAAAGAGTGCATCTTTAAGATATGTTGGGCAAGTAAAATATGGAAGGATGCACACAGGGGTGGGTGTTAGCTTTCAGAAGTTACAATGTCAATCCCTTCCACAACCAATAATGCACTGGACAGTCGTTTTGGTACTGATCCAAGTCTTAACATTGGTATTTTCAAATTGAAGCTACAGTACAACCATGTGACTTCCTTAGAGCAGTGTCTGCTTAAATAATGCCAAACTAAACTCTCCCTTGACAGACGAAACTTTGAGTGTCCAAATTCCAAATGTTGTCACCTGTGACATTTAAGAATGAATCCTTTTGACATGCATACAACCACAGGGGTGGATTGGAATAAATGGAAACAATGTTATGTAGATTTGTTGCAGTCTTAACAGCCTAATAATAGTAAACATGCAAGGTATGTACAAGTATAGGATACTTACCGTTGAATCTGAGACACTTCTTGCACCACATGTTAGTGACGGCACCAAATTCTAGGATAGGAGAAGTGCATAAATACTGATTATTGAAATGATTTCATTTAAACATCAACATCTACATGTACATACAGGCTCAGGCTGTTTTCAGTGACCAGATCCCAAGCCGATTTTAAACCACACATTTATAACTGTTCCACCACACAATTATCCCCTTATTCAGTTTATGCTACTACCGATTTTTGAGATATGGCAGACAGAACAGGAAGGCACTAGGTTTGGCTAGATTCTGGTAAATACAACAGATTTAACAAAACTCGAAGTATCACCCTCGTATTGTGTCTACCATAAATGTGTCTCAAAAAACGATGTAGCAGCAATGACATGGAATAGAGTACTACTATTTTTCTTATAAAAGGCCATTATACAGGGTGAGTCAAAAAAGGGAACCCAAATGGCGACCCCTATTTAAAAAAAAAAGAAGTTCTGCATGTAGCACTTTTCAAATCTAGGACAAGAAAGCCCAATTCATAAGCTTTCTTTTAGTAAAAGAATCATTCAAATCACTCATGTACATTTCCAGTTATGGACTTTTGAAGATAAACACAGTTTTATAATTTAGTCCACAGATCACATTTAAGGGTATGTGATATTTCAGTAAAATTAAACAATGCTCTATTATGAACCTGATATCAGAATAATCCCATAAGGCTCCGGGTAGCCAATTAGAAGGCAGGGCAAGACTATAAACTCCAATGACGTTATAAAGCATATTGTTTTGACATCGGAAGCAGAAGGTGTTTAAATAAAGGTTATGAAAAGCGCCAGTTATCATGGTTATGAGAGTGTTCTGATGTGTCTTTTTGTATGTGAATTATTTTCGCTTTGCTGAAATATCACTTATCTTTATTGTGACTCGTGGACAACATGTTTAATTAACCCTAACTCCCTAGGCCTTTTTGCTGGGATGTAGCCTCAATCCTGCAAAATCCTCCAATTGGCCTCATGGAAAAATAGCATATAGCCTCAATCCTGCAAATTCCTCCGCTATTTCTTGAATATGGTCCATGGAGGGATGACCACTGCCTGAATCCTGCAAAATCCTCCAGCTATGTCTGTCAATAGGCTGAGGCAGAGGCAGAGGCAGTGACATTCTGGAGCAGTGCGGAGGATTTCAAGTATAATCAAGGACTAAATTTATGCACGGCTGAGCATAAACAACACAAGGTCCGGCCCAAGACCTTGACACAGTGCGAACTCCGAAATCAGCAACGCACTTTTGCCATGTAACCTCAATCCTGCAAATTCCTCCAATTTGCAAAAAGGATTTTGGAGGATTCAGGGCGGTTAGGGTTAAACTGTATTTGGGCAATTCCGTGAAAATGTCATCCATTGTCATAAATTGTTTTTTATAATAAATGGTCATGTTGGCTACCATTTTGAAGCTGATAAGGCACAGAATACAAAAAATTAACTCAATTTTACATCAAATGCAAAATTGACACAAAAATGGGTGGAAAAAGCACTTATTGGTTAAAAAACAACATTTTAATAAATTGCAATTTTAGGTATATTTTGCCAATTAATTAAAGGGAAAATACAACATTTGCAAACATCAAAAAATAAAACTACCAAATCATTTTGAAATACCTTGCTGGACTGTTAGTGAATGACAGTGTAAAGCATCCTGTAAAATCATGGCACCTGGTATAGTATACCAGTGGTATACTGTCATTTTCAAGAAAAGTGGTATTTTTGTATCAATTTCCAACGCTGATCGGCCGATCAGCGTTGGAAAAAACTGGCTTTTTTTCAAATACTGGCCCCAGTTGACCATCGCACTTGTTTGCAATCGATTACACACCTAACGGGTACAAGCCAGCTAGACTGGTTCCCTGACCTTACAATTCCCCAATATATGTAAACTGCTCTGTTTCTTCTTAAATGGAGTCAGGGAACCAGACTACAGGAAAATGATAGTTTTTCTTGGTTTTTATAGCATTTTCGAACCAAAAACCTCAAAAAAGTCAGTGTAACTATATTTGCTATATATTTCCAACCCCCCAATTCCATCCATTTCTGAAAATTACGGCAAAAGCAAATGATGTTTATTCCCTTTAAGTATATTTTGACAAATTTTCTTGAATTTTGTAATTTTTAAGCAAAAAGCCGCGTTTTATTGCCTAGAATTACAAAATTGAATTTGTTTTGCATTTTACCCAAATCTTGCCGCTTTTAAATTTTACCAAAACTATGTGTCAGTCTGTTACCGAAATATCTAAAAAATATTTTTTTAGTTTTTTATATTAGTTACAATAACTTTCTTTTTTGGATTCTCTGTAGTCATCAAGCTATGAACAAAATTGACAAAGAAAACTTATGTACCATTTTGTTATTATTGAAATAAACCATGGTAACAGACTGACGTCTGTGGTAACAGACTGACGGTAACAGACTGACACATGTACAAGTCTATGGCTCTAGATGCAATGCATTGTGGGTAAAGTGCATAGTTAAATCAGTCGCCCAGGTGAAGGTATTCTGACCACTACTTCAGCCATGTGCTTTGGCCTATTTTCTTGAAATTTGGCAAGAATGTTGGCTGGTAGGTACTTAATAAGTTGAACTCATTTGGTTGTGCTACTGCCACCACAAGAGGGCGCTTTACTTTTTTATGTTTTTGCAATTTTTGGTCAAAAACAGTATTTTTGCCATAATATGTACATTTTGCATTCAAATGCTTTCAAATTTGTTACAAATATAGTTTGAGTCAATATAGAAGCATTCAAACAAACTTCCCCATCCTACGGCAACACTAGAGGGCGCTATATCAACTTTTTGGGCCAAAATCATCATTTTTCTTGATTTTGGCCCAAAATTTGAATTTTTCGTCCAAAATCACACCTGTACTTACACAATGGTTTCAAACACCTAAAACCTCAGTTTAAACAGGAAAAAACATGACAAAGAGGTCATACATGTAGGTTTACTGTACATGTTGCACATGAACTCAGAGCATGTCAGTCTGTTACCACCGATGTCAGTCTGTTACTGAGCATATTTTTGATCACGCCAATTTAACCGGCAGTGATTTACGAAAACCACCACCATTTATAAACAGCGAGGACTTACCGGTAGCTTTATAATATATTTAGTGTACCATTACTTTTTATTTGCCAACTTCACTGAATTTTTCCACTGAACACTCAGTTTGGAAAAGGCAGGATGCACAAGTGTCAGTCTGTTACCATGGCAACACATAAGTTTACCGGACCCCAACAAAGAATAAATTTGGAAAGAAAAACTGCAGGTTATAGGGGCACTTGCAATGAACAAAAATGTTCTTGAGTTTTGGTCCTAACTTACTACAACAACCTTACAGAAGGGATACATTGTGAAAACCCCTCCCAAAATGTCAGTCTGTTACCCATGGAATTGCCCATTTGTGTTTAAAAGTCCATTATAACTGGAAAAGTACATGAGTGATTTGAATGATTGTTTTAATAAAAGAAATTATTAATTGGGCTTTCATCCTAGATCTGGAAAGCACTACAATGTACATGCAATTCTTTAAGAAAAAGGGGGTGCCATTTATTTATTTATTTTTTAACTCACCCCGCATATTCACATTCAAAATTCTGTTTTAACATGTCTACATACAGTACAATCAAAATTTAATGTACACAGTTAAACATTACATACAGGGCAAAGTACCCCTGAAAAATGCAACACTCCACAAAGTCTACGACTATGAGTCTATTATTATGCTTTATTGCTAAATAAAGAAATCATGGAATTTAAACCTGCTTTGTACTTATCAGGGAAGACTGAGAGTCAATCTGGAGTTGGACTGTTAATTTTTGAACAAAGGTGACTTTCGTAGGTGCGATACGTTCCTCTCAATGTTTAGAACTAGGGGTTAGTGCATGAGGGAACTAATATACTAAACCACAACCATTATTTCTTTGAATCTAGCAAGACAATGCCAACCTTACTACATGTAGATGTAGATGGATTGCATTCAGCAATCATCTTTGGGGTGTGCTGTGTTGTTCATTTGTTAACAATGAATACACGAGGTATACTCATGAATGCATATCCCTGTTGAACAAAAGCACACACAAAGCAAATGATCTATAGTCTTAGTAACTTCTGACCAAGCTTCGAATTGCCTTTACTGAACCATGATTGAACCTTATCTGGCGATAGAAGGGTTTGAGTGGATATCAAGTCCAAATTCTATAAAAATTCAGACCCAGATTGCATACCCAAACAACTAAAAACTTCAAAAAACAGGACCTAAGATGTCAATATTGTTCCAAGATTAGGATCGTGGTACTAAAACTGACTTAATGACTAAATGATTAAACCAACAGGAATACTGTGGAAAAAGATTAGGTTTTTATGTTGTATGGCTAATTTGTGGTATTAGCAATAACAACAAAAACAGACAAATACGAAAATTAAGATAGCAATCCCTACAATGCACCAAGAATGCACAAACTATGTTGATTTGTTTAAGCACCAACTGGAAAATCGATAAGAAAATGGCATTTCCTACCCCAAATAAAGAAGTCAAATTAAGAAAAATGGGCTAAGAATTGAAAGAAAATTGCTAAAGGCTGTAGTAGTCATTTTAAAAGGACAAAACTGTACAAAAAAATAGTCAGACTTCGGCGATCGTGTATCTACGGGCCCGGTTCTAGTATTAGGGAACAAAATCCACTTTTAAATTATTTGACCTACCAAACTAGTTGGCGACATTAAGATCGTACATTGTACATGTATGATGTATGTACATGTATGCCATAGATAAAGGGCAGGGGTTTGAATTTTTGAGGGAAATTTGGGGGTAAAATGACGATGACAACCACAAAACGAAATGCAAACGAGATCCAGTCTACTTTTGATCATAGTCGATGCATTGCGCTCGGTAACGGAATCGCACTCGGGATATACGGGGACCATCGAATGAACGCTGGGCATGAAGACCACATTGCATTGTTCAAACACGAGTCGGAAATTTAACATGTTCACGATCGCGAGGGGAGCTCTCGGAATTGAACAGGAAATTTCACTTTTCATCTGGATCGTATTAAAGTAAACTTCAGTACCTCCATAATCATCGATGTCTACTTGTACCTCAGGTGGCGTATCTAGTTATTTGGAGGCCGTTTTTAGAATGAAATCCGATGTTTTTGTTGGGCAATGTTGGGTTTTTGTTAAAATGTTAAAAAGGCGATAAGTTGGGTCCAAGTTACTCGGACTAGCCCTAACCTCACACTCGCCAATATATATAAAAAAAAAAAAAAAATGAGTTCAATATCAAATTTTATTTCTTTTTTAAATTGGCATTTTTAGGCTATCACCATGTTTGTTACAGGATAGATGGGCGCTGACTCTTGGGAACCTTTACATAGGATTACACTGATTTTGAGTCTGGAGAGTGGAGTGCTGCATCATATTGGTAATACTATAGCAAGAGATGAAAACTGGGGTTTCGATCCAACTTGGACCCAATCCAACTCGGACCCACTACTGACTTGTCCACTACTGCGGCACTAGTCACTATATCCTTGATCCTCCTATTTCTGCGCAGATAAGGCTTTGCAACCCAGTAGCTTAAAAATAGCAGCAAAGCAACCACTCTTTTCCTCAATAAAAAAGTTATTTTGTTGGCTTATGATCATCCACCGTACCAATTAACAAAGCGAAATCTCTTTATTTGTGGCCAAAGCGTGCAGTTTTGGCATTGTAGAAAAGAATCATGCCTAATTCTGGGCCAAATTAAACTTGTATTTCTTCAATGTATTTTTGTATGCTTTAGTATAGGAGTAACCCCCCCCCCCCCCCGAGTAAATCCAGCATTTCTATTAGCTTCCCCCATCCCTTCATAGTAGTCTATCCCCCTGGTAAAGTTTTCCAGTAACAAGTTAATTGACATTGTATGTAAATTGCACACCCTGTAAGACCACAGACCCCTCAGTAGCAGACCAGCGGCAGTAGAGAGAGCACATTATTTCTGAGTTTCCTCTCTTTCCCCCTTGATTTGTCTTGGGTGCGCCTTGCCCTGTGTGCATTTCATCTGCTCGAGTTTTTGATTTTCTGCCTGAGTGTATTTCTTTACAGTCCACTTATTACACACTGTGTTGGTTTAAGTCTTTGGTTTAAGGTTGAAGTCTTTGTTTTAAGTTTTAGGTTTTATTCTTTGCTGTTAGTTTCTGGTTTTTGGTGAAAGGTTTTTGTAAAATAATTCTTTTTGGTCCTTTTTGGTTTGAATTTGAAATCTAGAATTTGTGTCTGAGTCTCTATAAATTCAATCTCCTCGCGCCTTTTCCTTCAAAGATCCTGAGTTTAGTTTAGTTGTAGTAGTTTTAGTGAGAGTTCCCCATAGTGAGTCAGTTTTCACGGTTACATGCGCAGGGGACGCTTCCTGAAAAATGTGTGCTGTCCGGGCCATGTAACTCAATATAAACTTTTTTTTTAATAACTTAGACTTGTTGGCTTTAGGAAAATATATTTCCTGAGCTTTTCAAACATATTTTCTTTCTTTTTCCTTTCTTTTTTCAATGCCAATACACTTTTCGTAATTTCACGATTATTTTCAATATCCCATTTTGGAGATTTTATACAAAGGCCTATTTACATAAATAGATTTTATACATATTTACCTATTAAATGTACTGATCCCAATGATATTGTTATTCTGATCATCCCAATCAACGGAGACAGTTTTAAGATGTCGGATTTTAAAACTTTTGACCAAAAAAATTCCAAAATAATATAAGAAATGTTTCTTTTTTGTTGCACCGTAAGTTTTACTCCCTCGTTGTAGAAACTGCAAATTCTTATCTATGACATCTTAACTATAATACTGACGATATTGGGAGACCAAGAAAGGTCACCTTTCGGTTATATTTTCGACTTCGGCTGGCCCGGAAGCATCTGCTTGCATTTGTACTTAGTAATTAGCTGTAAAAAATGCCGATGTTTTTCATTTTTTGCCTGAATTCCTGGTAAAGCCTTCAATTTCCACATTTTTTGGGCTGCTGGCTAAAGTTCGTGCATCAAAGGTAGCTTGAGTAACTCCAGCTGACATGCTTATATTTATTCACATGTAGCGCTGGAGACAACCTAGTCATGAGAGTGTGGTAGCAAGAGACATTAAAATAATGGCCTCTCAAAAATTGTCCATTTTCACCTCTAATATCCCACCCCAGATTTCATTTACATACCTCATACATTCAGCAGTCATTCACGAAGCTAATGATCGACTTGAAAGTCAAGCTACATCAATACGATCCCAGACCCAGTGAAAGTATGTCATTTTTTAGGAATGTCAGACAAGTCGACCGTTGAGACAACTCGACTCGGGACAAGTCGACCGTTGAGACAACTCGACCGTTGAGACAGGTCGACCGTTGAGACAACTCGACTCGGGACAACTCGACCGTTGAGACTGCTCGACTTAATGGAAATGAATACACGTGGAGCAGAAAAAGTTGCACAAATCTGTGGCAAGACCGATCACGGGTGCGGCGCGGGCATACTCGATGTACAGAGGGCGTCGCGTCGGGCCAAGCACCCCGCCCGGCCGCGAGGACCGGACCGGGCCCGGCACGCGGGCACGTCGACCGGCGCGGCAAATGGGCGCACAGGCCCGGCACAAACGATGTCACCGTGCACGGTACGGCCACGTTGACCGGGGATGCGCGCACGTGGCCTTGAAAAAAACGAACGATGTGCACGGACAATCACGCTGCGCTATATCGGCTCTGTTATATGCAACAAAAAAACTCATGTGTCATCACTCCCAAACGGCGATCAGCTGCCGTCAAAATCCCCGGTACTATCCTCGAAACTAGGCCCAAAACATGTGAGGCGACTTGTCTCAACGGTCGACTTGTCTTTCCATTTATCGCACATACGGTCGAGTTGTCTCAACGGTCGAGTTGTCCCGAGTCGAGTTGTCTCAATGGTCGACTTGTCTTACCCCCATTTTTTAGGATGCACGCCTTGCAAAATATAACTTAAAGGCGAGTGCGCAGAATTAGGAGCGCATAGCTTTAGGAGGTCTGACGATACACTTCCAACATTCATAGGGCATGTAGGGCATGCAACAATCACTGACAGTGACAATAAACGCAGTGGCTATCGTTACGGCAGCCGTAATGCATTTCCCATTTTCTATCGTTACGGTAGTAGTACTGCAACTTTTATAAAAACATGAGAAGAAAATATAAAATTAGAAGGAAAAAAGTGAATTTGAACGTTATGAAATTCAGACTTTAATTCCCTTTTAAAAAAAATCCTCCAAAGCCTCAGGTTAGAAAAGGAAAAAAATTCGAGTGCAAAACTGAGACGCGAACCCGCAACCTCGCGGTGCAAAATCCTACCCTCGAGCTGTCGCACTACTCGCTAAAACGTAGGGAAACTAATAATTAGGAGCAACTATAGAATGCAGGGCCACGCCGAAGCAAGGTTTTTTATTTTGCCTGGAGGCGTGGATGGATAGGAGTAATAGATATGCAAACCTGCAAAAAGTGCTAAGTACAGCGAAGGAATGCACTTGTCTTCTAAGATTCTCATGAAGGATCGGAAGGGAGGGCGTGCTTGTAAATGTGTTGGGGGCACTGTCTGGAGTCGCGGAGACGCGGGGCACTGGAGTGGCCGCAGTGCAGTGGCGGAGGCGCGGAGTCGCAGAGACTCGCGCCGATAGAGGGCGCAATTCTCGGCGGAATTTTTTTGAAATTTGCACGCGCGCAGAATGATCGCAGTAATTTTCGGGTTCGATAGCTCGGAGCGCGCCGCGGGGGGTACGTACTCGCACTTGTACGCATGCGCATACTATCGTTCCGCTCCTACACCATACCCCCCGCGGCGCGCTCCGAGCGATCGGACCGAAAATGACTGCGATCATTCTGCGCGCGTGCAAATTTCAAGTGTTAGGTTGGCTCAGTGCGGAAAGGGCATATTTTCCATCATTTTTGCAAAAAACCGACAGAATCCACCGATGTTTGTTGGGTGCACATAGCGTGAGTATGTCATGAGGTATTGTACGGAGTTTAGGGGCAAACTGTGCAGCGGTTCTGTGGGAAACGGCTTCGTTGGGATGGACGTTTTTGTACTTAATTAGTGTTTTGTGCTGACAACAATTTTGCGGGGTTCTGAACCTATGAGGCTCCACTGCGTGGAGCCTCATAGTTCTAGGAGTATGCCGTAACGATAGCCACTTCGGACAATAAAACATAACCAACTCGGACCTAACCGTTGTCCGTTATGACCGACAATGACCGACCGTGAGTACCGGCCGGGCTAAGCTAGCTCTTCATTCAACCACTTACTTTGGCTTGAAGAAAGGTCCGTCTTGATAACACTTTGAGCAAAGACATTTTTTTGATTATGATGAGCAGGCAACCTGTGTTATGCTAGTTGAGGGCTCGGGAAACAGGCGAATTGAGGAAAACTAATTGCAATCTACCGGCGGCACGAAAGGCGCACGTACGTTCGTCCGTAAGAAAGTCAGGTGCCGATGTTCAGCCGACATATAATCTACATGTATGCTGCTGGGAGTGCTGATAATGCATAATAGGTGGTGATTGAACGGTATCCAGACGTCCATAGTTAGGCTCCTTCCTTGGTACTCGGTGGTAAACCAAGCACGATAGTCTCCCATAACAATAGTCCGTGTACCAACGAAGATGAAACTGCAATATTCAACCATTCGCAAACCCATGCCGGCGTGCATAGTTGATTGAGTTGGTTTCGCTTAATTAAGATCTGCAGCAGATGCACAAAAGATCGAACAGTACATCACATTTTTGTTGTTGATAGTTACAGTTTTCCCCTGCATATTTGTGATGATTGCAGTCTGATGAGTGCTGATAGTTCATGATTCTTGTGGCTGTTTAGTCGGTCTTATTATTCTCGTCGTAGTGTCATACACCAGTTTACGTACAAGATGGTAAGCGCCCTCACTTTGTGTGGAGTGGTGGATGGTTAAATGGTATCGGGACAACTCGTACCCGGGACAACTCGTACCCGGGACGACTCGTACCCCAAATTTGCGACCCGGGACAACTCGTACCCGGGACGACTCGTACCCGGGACAACTCGTACCCGGGACAACTCGTACCCGGGACGACTCATACCCGGGACGACTCGTACCTTGTACTTTTCTTACCATTTACTTTTCAGTCCATTTTAGTTAGATGTAATTGACAAATCCGAAGATGTGGAAAACCAAAAGCCATTGAGTTTTGGGGAATTGCCAGTGGTGACAAGCAAGAGATTGTTCTGGAGAGATTCTGGCAGCTGGCCGATGATCGCGGAGTTCCCCGAATTCGCGGAAGGAGCTATAGCAATCATGAGCTTCTTAACTTATTTGATCTTCATTTATTGCGAAAACTTATTTCTAAAATAAGTGGACCGATTCATTAAAATTAGTGAGTAGCGTGAGATGCCATGTTTCACACGTCATTGTGTTCCCGTTTGCAGGGCTATAACGCCAGCTACTAGGGCGGAGTTTGCTCGTAACTTATTTGATCTTCAGTTATTGCATTACTAAATAAGTGTACCGAGTCATTATGAAATGTTACATAATTATGTCACCTTCTACAGTTTTTATGACATTTATTTTGTCTTTCATTTCATGGGGTTTTATTTTACGGGGATAACTCAATCAACACAAATCATCATACCATCAACAATCCGAGTAGCGTGTCAATCTTTGCCTATGTGAAATAATTAAAAAAGCCACTTAATTACTATTGTTATGTTAGCCTTGTATAAGTAGCGTGAGATGCCACGTTTAGCGAGTCATTGTGTTCTGGCCCAATGGATAGTTCTGAAGACGCCGCTCCCATTTGCCACACGAACATCCGTCGCAACCAGCAGGCATTCCAGTGCGATGTCTGCGACCAGTGGCAGCATCGGGCGTGCAACACGGGTTTTTCGGCTGATGAGTACGTCCGGATTGTCGCATAGCTATGGACTGGTTACCGCATTTTCATCATGTCTTCTAAATTGGCCCCTGCGCGGCGCGGCGGAAACCAGTCGTCGCCACGTGATTATAGTCGCCGTGACATCGCATTGCGAAGTAGCTATATTGCGAAGCGAATTTGTAAAATTAACGGAGGTTTCTTTAGAAAAAAAGCGAATGTAAGTAAGAAAACAAATAAATACAAGCATTTTTTTTTATAGAAAAGGGTTTTATTTTTATTTATTCAATTTTTTTTTTATATTTTTTTAATAAAATTTTTAGGGTCGCAGCCTAAAGATAGGGTTGGTCGGGTAACCGGAAGCAGAACTACTCTGTTTTTCAGCCTAATTGGTTGAAAATAAGTATGATAACAGTCGGCACAAGTAAGGCACAGATACGAGTACGCTGCACAGTGTTTTATTTTCAGACGGGTACGAGTTGTCTCGGGTACGAGTTGTCCCGGGTACGAGATGTCCCGGGTACGAGTTGTCCCGGGTACGAATTGTCTCGGGTACGAATTGTCTCGGGTACGAGTTGTCTCGGGTACGAATTGTCTCGGGTACGAGTTGTCCAACATTCGGTTAAATCATGGAGGAATTCTTATTGCTCCATGGTTAAATTAGGTTTTGTTCTTTTAATCATGGTATTTAGTGACAATGATGAATGAAAGCACAATGTGTCTACTCTGTACTCATGCAATTCGAAGAGGGAAAAAAGACCAGTCGACAAGGAGGAGGGCACTCTGTGCATTGTGTGCAACTGCAAGCTCTCTGCTTTTTTGGAATATATAATTTTCTACTGTTTTTGATGTGGTTTTGTAGAAAAAACTGAAAGTGATTTTAATGCAAGTTTGGATTTCGTCAGAATCTGCAAACCAAAGAAAAATGGATTTAAAACAGTCACTGCCAGTGATTTTTTGAGACACTGGAAAAGAAATGTGTACGTTTAATGCAGAATAAACATGATAAAGTGTGATTTAATATTTTGCATATAAAAAGGAGTACAGAAATATGATTGAAATGCTCAAAACTCACATTTTTTCAAAATCTTTGTCTTTATTCATGCTTATTTATATATGGCGGACGGAAATCATGATTTCGAAAATTCTGACATTTGAATATAATAGAACAGTACTGTGAATGTGCACAAAAATCAAAATTTTAATCACAATTTCCTATTCAGAAAAAGGGTCACCAAATGAACAGCGCCCTCACACATTTTTATAAAATGTAAGGTGTGGAGATGGTTAGGCCTACTTGAGTTCTGGAATTAAAAGGCACCTGTGTGACTTAGCAGTAGCACTATCATTTTTTGGATCGTCGTACATGTAATGCTATTGGATTTGGTTTAGAGCTTTGATAGACAAATTACTTGCATCTAGAATTCCACTTTCTCAAACAAATATCTCTCCCAAAAAGCTGCCATTGTAACGGTCTCTACACACATTCAAGGTTCGGATCACTTCACAGGATGAGATTATCAATTCAGAATTAACAGTAAATGATTGATTTATGGCAGTGGATATTATCTCGGATGCGGCTTCTTTTAAAATATGAATACAATATTGGAGTAATTGCAGAATACCCCGCAAAGTAAGTACTCTAACTAAAATCCAATTCCCATAGGGCATGGCCTTCCTTAAAAATGATAGTGCTAGAACTTAAAAAGGCACACAGGTGCTTTCTAATTCCAGAAGTAGGTTACGTCTACATGTAGCTACATGTAGCTGAGCAATCTGTGCTGTGCCGACATACTCACATAATATGTAAGCTATAGGCCCTGACCTATTTGTACAAGCATTGCTTGATTTCAGAAGCATAAGTGTAGTTAAGGCCTCCTCCTTTAAGTTATTTGAATAAATTGTCTTCCCAAAAATCTGAGGATGACTTCTTTTATTTTAAATAACCCTATTTTAGTCAATTTTGAACAGTATTTCAGATAGAAAAACAATTTTCTTACCTTATTTTCCTATAAGCTTAACATGCTTAATTGTATCAGCAAACAAGGTTTGGCGTTATCACAATATTCATTTTCATGTGGTGATGGTTATTGTTACTTATTTTTTCCCAATGTAGATTGTATTTAAAATTAAGTTTTAATCAAATGTCTTTCCCATTTATGATTTTTTATAGAGTATTATGTCATATAATGGCTCGGCCATTTTGGCAATGATTGGCAAAGACTGTGTTGCCATAGCATCAGACAGGAGGTTTGGAATTCAGGCACAAACCATTTCCTTGGATTGTCAGAAGATATTTGAAATGGGCCCAAGGCTGTATGTAGGGCTGTCTGGTCTAGCAACAGATGTACAGACTGTGTAAGTATAATAAATACCACTGTCCTTTACTGCATTTGTATTGACTAGGTTCAATTTTTGAAAGCATTTTTGGTTGAAAAGGATAACTGACAAACCGTAACTCTGCCAAATGCAACAAAAAAGTAACAGTGGGGAAAAGTTGTTGCATTTAGCAGTCAACTCAAATTTTATTTTTTGTTGCATCTGGTTGCATTTAGCAGGGTAACTGCAATAATGCCGAGGCTGGAGTGTAATATGTTCACCTCAAAATGCCACAGAATCCACTTTGTTGCATTTAGCATGGTTCTCATTCAGCTGTGCTGAATGTTGTTGTATACTTAGGCAGGGTACCTGAAGAAATCCTGATGGGCTCAAGCCTTTTATAATTCACTTAAATATCTTGCAACTTAAACAGTGCTCTACATGCCCCAACCAAAATAACCCGGTCCTAAATTGGTGGTCTTCCAAATTTTCATTGTCTTTTTAAGATGGTCTAGAAGAGGGATTGAAAGTCGGGTACGTCTTGTTTTATTTTCAGTGCCAATCGGCTGAAGTTTCGTCTCAACTTGTATTGTTTACGTGAAAATAGAGACATCAAGCCCAAGACATTCATGAACATGGTATCCAACCTATTGTATGAAAGAAGGTGAGTACTACATTGTATTCTTATGAAGCTGAAAATGTCAATATTTTGTAGGTGGTTTGTAATGGTGCTCAGGCATTGAAATCTTCACTGAGGACTGTAACTCTATGAAAGTAATGATGTGAGTACAGTATATTTCAGGCAAAACATATTGATAAAAGAAATGAAACAAATTGGGTTATTATTTGACTGGAGGTGTAATACATCTAATTGTGAATCCTGATCATTGTGTACAGTGCTAGTAGTCATGTTATCTGTCTGTGTTCTGTTTTCAGATTTGGTCCATACTTCACCGAGCCAGTCATTGCTGGTCTAGATCCTAAGACATATGAACCATTCATATGTAACCTAGATCTGATTGGATGTCCAATGTTTACCGATGACTTTGTTGTGGCTGGTACATGTACAGAGCAGCTATACGGCATGTGTGAATCACTCTGGGTGCCTAATCTGGTATGTTGTGTCTAAGGACGTTTGTATGTTTATAAACAAACAAAAATGAAATCCATTCACCAATTTACCCAAATATTGATACGAACCCCAAATTTTAAAAATGAGACATTGTGTTTGCAGGTTCTGCCTTCCAGTTTTAGTTTTAGAATCAACGATGCCTGTGAACCTGTGATGCCTGCAAAATGTTCACCTGTTTGATTTACAAAGCATTAGAAGCCCTTATTACTTGATCACATCACAGGAAATTAAGTGATGCATTTTTCAATGATTAGGCCAAATGAAAAAAACAACATGTTCAGCGTCCTGCCTTTTTTTTAAAAAGGAAGGAGGAGGCTCTTTTTTTCCCCTCAAAATTTTTTTAAGTGGACTCAGGAAATGACAAACCAGCTTTATATGGGCTAGATGCAACAGAGAAAGAGGTCAAAATGATGTCAATGTTTAAAATTCATCATTTTTTCGTTAAAAAGAAGAAGAGAGAAAAAAAGGAGGCAGCCTCCAAAAAGGAAGTGGGCGGGACGCTCAACTGTCTATCGAGTCAACCAGATGCAGTACAATTTATTGTTTGATATTCTTAATATACTACCGTGCTAGAATCAATGCATGATACCTCTCCAATGTGCGATGCAAACATACGGGGAAGGTGGCATCCTCCTTAGTACAGTGTTGGCTAAACATTTGGATATAAACATTTGAAAGTTTCATATAACTTTCACCGCATTTGAATGTATATTCCAATCTGTAGGTACATAAATGTATGATTTCTTTTTAGAATTAGAATAAAGCTCTGTTTGATATTGCAGTGACAACAGTTTTGCAGTTTGCGAAAAGTCATATAAGTATACTTTAAATGGTCTTTTCCCCACCAGTTTTTCAGCAGGGAATCAGGATTAACCCTTACCCTACTTGACCCTCCAACGCATGCCAATATGTGCCTCAAGAAAATCTCCTATGTTTTTTGCATGGCCCTCCAATATCTGCCATGTCATTTCAAGGGTAACTGGACAGGCACTCCAATACATGCCACAGAGAACAATGAGAGTCCTCTGATAACAAAGTGAGTGCCCCCAGCTGGTCAGTATCAGGCACCCTCCAGGGCCTCCAACTCCTGCCAATTGGAGCCTTCACTGTTGTTGTTGTTGATGTGGTGTAATGGCACGTTCGGCAAACTAGTGCCCTTTGTGCCATAAGCAATACTTCTGCGTTACAGAACAGTAAGCTAATCAGCAAAAAAAGACGTACGACATGAAAAACAGAGACACTTCGTGAGAGCTGCGAGAGACAAAAGGAAAGAAATGCCAAAAAAACAACCAAGCAGTGACAGTTCGGTAAAGCATGGAGGCAGGAGTGGGGGGAGCGCCAATGATCCGCCGAACATGCAGTGTCGCTGGTGCCCTGCAAGGCCGGACCGTTCACCATGCAATTTAAGGGCCCGGGCCCCGCCGGGTTCGTCGCAGGTCCGCAACGCCTTCAGGTGATGAGGGCATCACTGTGTCCAGCCAACCATCGACGCTCCCCTCTCCCGCACATGCGCAAAATCTACAATATCAAGGAGGCGTGACTAAGCAGAGTAGAATAGAGTTGTAATGGAGGCGTGGCAAAACAATTAGATGTTAATGTTGCATTTGTGGATATATCGTAGAATTTCGTCACAGTTGTGTTTCTGACCTAGAAGTTGTTTGAGTGTCATTTGAGCATCAGAGTATCCAAGTGCCTTCTGGAGTGCCTGTCTTTGGACTTTGTAATTTGTGCACTTAACCATGAAGTGTTCGACGTCATCCGTGCATCCACATGTAACGCAGAGTTTGTCGGGGTGTTGACCAATGTTATGCAGGAAGGTATTAAGTCCTTTGCAAGTTCCCAGCCGAAGTCTGTGAAGGGGGATTTCTTGTTGGCGTCTTTTACCCCAATTTGTGAAGGTGAAAGATGGTTTAAGTTTGAAATGTTTAGACGGATCGAGGTTTGGAATAATTTTCATCCATTGGTCTATAAGGTCATTTTTAAGGCATCGCTTGATTTCGGTATCAGAAAATGGGATATTGTGATCGACATTTGGCTTTTTTGTGCCAGATTTAGCAACTTTGTCAACTTTTTCGTTACCAGGAATTCCCCAGTGACCAGGGACCCATTCGAAGACAACAATGTTGCCTTGGTGCTGTATATTTATGAGGGTATGGCGAATGTCACAGATAATTTTATTCTGAGGAATGGGGTTCGAGATGGCTTGAATTGCACTGAGACAGTCACTGAGCACACATGCATGAATGGGTTTGACATCTTCGATCCATTCTAGAGCTAGAAGGATAGCAAAAAGTTCAGCTGTGAATATGGAGATGCCATTGTTAAGTCTGATGCTTTTGGAATACTTGAGTTGAGGAATATAAAGGCCACATCCAACAGTATTGAAATCGGGGTTAAAGGAACCATCAGTATAGATTTGGAGTGAATTGTTCCAGACAGTGTTAATAATTTCTTTGCTAATACTGCCTCTGATGTTGATATCATTTATATTCGAGACCTGGGAGACAATTTCTGTAGATAAACTAGGTTTATAATAATGCCAATATGGGAAAGGGTTGATTAAAGGAAACGTTTCAATAGGGTATTGAGTAATTCTAGCTTCAAAAGGGGTTTTATGAGCAGTTAGTCTCCATTTCTCTGTGAAGTAGTTTTTCTGCCAATTGTCCTGTTGGAGATGGTGGTTAGGATGTTTTTTATGGGCATTTATTTTGATATTGTGCAGATTACTTAGGAATTGGCGACGAAGATTCAGTGGGGGGTCGCCACATTCAAGTTGAAGTTTATATAACGGTGAACCTTGGAGGGCTCCAGTGCAGATTTTTAGTGACTGGTATTGGATACTGTCCAACTTCTGTTTGATAGTGGCTGAAGCTGAATCAAAAGCTTCGCAGCCATATTCAAGGATCGGTTTAATAAGGGCATTATATAACTGGAAGAGTGTCTTACAGTCAGCTCCCCATTTAGTTCCGCTAATGCAACGCAAAAGGTTAAGTTTTCTCTTACATTTATTGACAATATTGTTAATGTGGTGCTTCCAGGTTAACTTGCTGTCAAAGGTGACACCCAGGAATTTAGCTGATTGGAGGATTTGGATATTATGGTCTTGAAGGAGGAGAGAAATATTAGATTTCTGTTTGTTTGTGAAGAGGATCGCTATCGTTTTGGGTTGAGAGAGCTTGAATCCCCATTTTCCGCACCATGAAAGGATATTGTTGAGACTTTTTTGGATTTTCTTTTGAATGAATGGGATGTTTCTGTTTGACTTCCAGATCGCTATATCGTCGGCATATTGGGACATGTGAACATCTGGTATGTGGTGGGAAAGATCGTTAACTGCAATATTGAACAAAAGGGGGCTGATGACACTGCCTTGAGGGACGCCATTTTCTTGAATTCTTTCTGAGGAGAGGGTGTCATTAGTTTTTACTTGAATTTTCCTGTCGCTGAGGAAGTTGTTGATCCAGCAGACAACGCGACCATATACGCCCATGGCTTGAAGTTTGATGATGACCCCTTTGCGCCATAGCATATCATAGGCCTTTTCGACGTCTAGGAAAACCGCAAGGGTGCTTTCTTTGTTCGCCCGGGCTTTATTGATCGATGACTCCAGATTGATAATATGATCTTTGGTGCTGCGGCCTTTCCTAAATCCACTTTGATGTTGGCTGAAAAGTTCATGCGTTTCAATGTACCAGAGAAGACGGCAATTTATCATTCGTTCCATCAGTTTACAGAAGGTGGAGGTGAGGGCTATAGGTCGGTAGGATGAAGGGTTGTCAGGATCTTTCCCTAGTTTGAGAATTGGGATGAGAATAGTTTCTTTCCATTGCACGGGACATTGGGAAGTGTGCCAAATCATATTGAATATAATAAGCAGGTATTCACGAACTTTGATGGATAGATGTTTAATGACCATATTACTAATTCCGTCTTTACCAGGGGTGGTGCACTTAGAAGCATCGATGGCATGGTTTACCTCATCAATGTTAAAAGGCTCATTAATAACACTATCATTGCTGTAATTAAGTTGGATGTTATTTTCAGCATCTTGTTTAGTCTTGATGAAGGGGGGATTGTAATTACTAGTACTACTTATTTTGGCGAAGTTGTCGACAAGTGCCTCTGCCTTATCTTCATCTGTGATAGCATCGATACCATTGTAGTGGATGACTGGAATGTTAGTTTTCTTCTTGGTTGAGTCGATCCGTTTTACCTTGTTCCAGATGAGTTTAGTATTAGTTTTTGTTGTAAGGTCGCTGCAAAATTTCTCCCAGTCGTTCCTTTTAGCAGTCTTGATGGTTTTCTTAGCGATTGCACAAGCCCGTTTGTAGGTTATTAGGTCAGACGGGAGCCTGGTTTTCCTTACTTTTTTCAAAGCCTCCTTTTTCTCCTCAATGACTCTTTTACAGTCTTCGTTCCACCAAGAAGTAGGCGATTTATGATGGTTAGGGTCTGTTTTTGGGATAGAATTGGTCATGGCAAGGTCAAGATCATGTATGAAATTGTTATAAACATCATCTATTTTTGCTGATTCATCCGGTTTATTTATGAGTCGATTGCATTCATCTTCGAATTTCCTCCAGTCAGCTTTTTTCAGTGACCATCTTGGTAGTTTATTGGAAGGACTTTTGTAAATGCGATGATTGATTTCGATGAGAATTGGGCAATGGTCGCTTCCCCAGGTGTCATCAAGTACTGACCAGTCACATTTGGCGGCTATGCAAGGAGAAGCTAGAGTAATATCAATGCAGGAGAGAGAGCAGTGAGATGAGTTAATCCTAGTTCCTTCTCCGGTGTTAAGGCAAACCATGTTGTTACTGGATATAACGTCGTCAAGAACTTGCCCATTGTGGTCAAGTTTAGAGCTGCCCCAAAGTGGGTTGTGACCATTGAGATCTCCGCAGATGATATAGGGCTTGTCAATTTTTCCTATGATCTGGTTAAGAGAGTCAAATTCTAATTGGGTACAAGGATTATAAATATTAATGATGTTGATTTTATTCTTGCAGTCATCATAGATTTCACCAATCTGAAATTCTACAGGAGTGTTAGATCCAGATTTGTACTTAAACCCAACGCCATATTTTACAAGAAATGCACATCCTCCACCACTTTTTTTGGTGGTGTTTTTCCTATCACATCGGTAGACATCATATCCAGGCATTTTGAAATTTTTGTCATCTTTCAACCATGTTTCTTGTATACAAATGATGTCAGGTTTAGTGGACCAGGAATTTATAGCCGCTTTAAGTTCTTTATGATGTGCTGTGAGAGATTGTGCATTCCATTGTAAAATAAGAAGGCTAGTCATAATAGTGGAGATATTCATGATGTCGTATTTTGTTTACCGTTTGGGATTTGATTTCCAATTTGTTGGTTAGTTGGTTGAGAGTCGGTTTTCTTCTGCTGTGTTTTCTGAGTATCAGTTTTCCTTGTGCCGGTTGGTGACTGCGACGTTGTTTTGCTCCGTCTACCGCGTTTTTCTTTGGCTTTTTTGGTTCTTTAGGGAGACGGAGGTGTTCGATTAGAGACTTTGTTGCATCTATTCTCTCGTCTTTGTTCTTGATGGAGTCCCAGATTTGCATCACTCCAGTGAGTAGTTCTAGGATGTTTTGTTCACTGCAAATGCACTGATGCGTAGGCTCCGTTTGTGTGGCTGTCGTTTGTTCGGTTTGGGTAGTCGCATCTGCCTTTGTGGTTCGGTGGATGATCTAACTTGGGGTTGGCTAGGTCTTTTGTCCTTAGTCGTAACATTTGTTCTGGGCCTGGGGTTTGGGTTAGATTTGTTCTCAACTATTGTTGCTGCCGGTTGCGTAACTTGTGTTTTAGGTGCAGGTTGACTGGGTACGTCACGGCTGAATGAGATGTCTGTTTTTATGGCTTTTGCTGCATCAGAGTAAGATATATTGTACGATACCCTGATGTTTTGTATGCGTCTTTCTTGCTTGATAGTATTGCATCCTGCATATGCTGATGAATGTTGTTCACCACATCTGCAGCACTTAACCTGATCCTTTTGTTTACATTGATCATATGAATGGGATCCCCCGCATCTAACACATCTGGTTGAACTGCGGCAGTTGCTGGCAACATGCCCAAGTCGCTGACAATTGAAGCAACGTACTACTGGTGGGACATAGGGTTTTACTCAGAAAATTTCGTATCCCAGTTGGAAGGTTTCGGGTAGGGTGGGTGTATTGAAAGTTAGACAGACAGAAAGACTTTTTTCCAATTTGCCATCTTTTCTGCGCATCAGGCGCTTAACATCCAGAACTCCTTCATCCTTATATGTCTCTAGGATTTCTTTATCTTCAATCTCAATGGGGATTCCTGTAATAACTCCTTTACTTTGAGTTTCTGATTTCGCAAATTCTGTAGTTATTGCCCATTTGTCAAGTTGCGACATGGCTTTGAGATTTTTGGACAGAGCTGGGGTATGACACCTAACCGTAATTCCGCCTTGGCTGTTTTTGGTGACACTTTTTACAAGATTACTACCTAGGTTGTTCAGGGCTTTAGCTATTTTTATTGGGTTAACTTTAGCAAGTTTAACATCTGGGGAATTTATGATGACAAGTGTCGGTTGGCTCTTGGTGTTTTGACTCTTTGTGAATCGCCGTTTAGGTTGGGGATTTTGTGAAGAATCGCTGTCTGAGTCAGAGTATACATCGCTGTATGTTATGTGCCGTTTGCGGCTCTTAGTCTGGAATTGAGAGCTATCTTGTGCCTGACTTATTAATCTGTCAAGTGTTGATCTAGGTGGGTCATCATACTGGGGGGATGGGTTAGACATGTTAGATTGTGACATTTGATCCCATGAAGTTTCAGACTCCATGTCATCCTCCATTGTTAGTGGAAATCCAGGCCTAGGTTGGCCCAGAAATCTGGAAAACCTGAATTACAGCCTCCTGATATTGAGATTTTGCTTACCAGAAGAACGATGCCAGCAAGATCTTGTACTCAGAATCGAAGATCGAAGCAAAAAAACAGTTACTGTTTTTTTCAGAGATTCAAAAACTTTTCGCGCGCTCACGAGCATCCATAAAACACGTCCGATCACCGCGAAACCATACATCCGATCACGCCTTCACTGTTAAGACTTGTTATCTGCCAAATAACTGCAGCTGGAGGGCATTGGCATAACCAACTGACATGCAGTAAACTACCCTCAGAGAGTAAGGGTTAAAGACTAGTTGTACATGTTTCATAAGTGATGGAACAGTTTGCATCAAAGTAACCATTGTTGAGTAAATCATGTTGACATTTGCCACCAGGAACCTGATGACTTATTTGAAACAGCTGCTCAAGCCCTTGTCAATGCTGTGGATAGAGATGCAGTGTCTGGATGGGGAGCTGTTGTCCATATCATGTGAGTAATACAGCCAGTCGGTCATCCCTAGGTCCGTTAATATGAATGTACATGGACTCGGTACACAAGTGCCCCCGCAATAATGACCGAGAGAGAACAGTGTTGTAGTTGAGTTATCACAAGTCCTCACAAGTCCTCTAGTCTCAAGTCAAGTTATAAGTTATTCAAATCAGGCATGAGATTTCTCAGACTCGTCTGATATCAGACCGTTTGAATCTTTGGATCTTTGGAGGACATTATCAGCATAGAGAGAATGCATCTTTCAGACCTTTCATTCAAAGCATTCCTGTGTTTGTCAACCTCTGTTACTTGTGACTGGACTTGTGAAGAGACTTGTGATTTGCTTGTGACCAGACTTGTGATGGACTCGACTACAACATTGAAAGAGACAAATGTCACCGACACTTAAATGTCACCGACACTGTGCGCACCTGGAACCCAGGCACAGACCCTACAAGTTTGTGCACATTCAGGTGGAACTTAGTTTTATGAAGTTCATCCCATGTGGAGTGGCGGCACTACCGGGGGGGGGGGGGGGGGGGGGGGGGGGGGGGGGGGGGGGGGGGGCATGGGCATGGGGGGGATTTCCCCCCCCCCAAGTTTTGTCCTTGCACCCCCCCCCCCCCCCCCCCAGTTTTTCCCGAACACTTTTATATTAATAATGTTTGTTTTCTTCGCTGTAAAGATTCATAAAATTTGGAGCCAATAGAAGCATTAAAACATTGGCCACACATGCATTTATACAGCCGTAGATAGTGTGCAGCCAACGTCTTTGTACATTTGTTATACATTTGTTATACACCATTCTGCGGTTTTTTACATTACTTTCATTCATAAAAATGACTGCACCTCTAAGTTGCTCTTGTGGCTTATTTCCGGACCATTGACAATGGTGCGTGAGCGCGTACACAGGCTTGAGAATTTTTGTTGACTGCCCCACGAAATTATTTCCTTGCCCCCAATTGCCCCCCTCCCCAATTTTAGAGTATGGCGCCGCACTGCCCATGTGAAAGGAAACCATGCATAGGCCTAGTCTGAGGATCAGATGTTCATTTGTGCAGAGCCACACTGTAAATGCCTGATATACCCATGCTGTTTTTAGATCATTTAGAGCAGAAAGTCAGGCAAAGCTGTAAATTGGTCAGTGGGTGCCATATTTTCTCATACAACATCGGGTTACTGAAGACATGATAGAAGTCGCCCGCTGAATGGTCAGAATCTGGAGGTCAAGATGCAGTCTTGTTTTGCATAATGTGCACGCACTATTCCTTTATTTACCTTTCTTTAATAATTGACATAATTTCCAGCGCCTTCAGTACCTAATTGTTGGTAGATACGTGCACTATATAAGACTCCGTTATAATAATAATAATAATAATAATAATATTCCAAAGACTAGAGTAGGTCTGACAAGCAGTGAAATCTAGTGTTCCTACATGTGCCCACTGTAGCACATGCCCATTTGATGGCTTACCATGCATATTATGCTAAATCATTCAGCTGGGATAATGATATGGGGACTTTGTCCTAATGCACTCTATGTAGGAACTGTAAAACGTGCTGTGTGGGTTACTCATGACAATCAGTGATGGACACAGATTATTTGTGTGCACACTGTTTTACACTCGGGTATCACACGCATACAGTATGTGTGTTAGTTTTAAAATAATTTATGCATTAACAAGTACAATTCCCAGAAAAAGTATCTTGCTGCCCCCTGCACATGTATGCTGCATTATGGAAAGAAAAGATAATGTGACTTGGTTTCTAAATATTGATTCTAAATAGAGATACTAGTAAGTGGAAAATTTACAGTGATTTTTGGACGACAAAAATTATGGAGGTGTTTTTCACAATTTCTGATCACAATGTTTCTGTTTCTTTTTCATCCGTAGAGAAAAAGACAAAGTGACAACACGGACTGTGAAGGGTAGAATGGACTAGTCTGGAGCTACACGGTTTGCACTGACTTTCTGAGATTGGAAACTTTTCAGTGCTTCATTCGGGAAAGATAAAACATGAGTCAAACATTGGCCCACAATTTTATCTCAAATTCCATCAATAGCCACATTTTAAGAGAGCACAGCTAAGCTGATGTCTTTCCTCTGTTTTCTGTTCAAATTTTATGAAGGGTTTAATAGTCATCTTTTGTTTTGATTCATATTCACCAACGAAAGAACTTTTAAAGTTAGTCTGAATCAGGATTTTTGTCAGTAAGCTACAGCAGATCTAGTAATGCACAAGTCTGTTATAGCGCTCTTTGTCCAGGGCAAAGGGTGAATTGGTCAATTTGTATCCACATTTTAGAATGTCTTACCAGAACCTTGTTGGCAGTTTATCCAATGGTTCTGAATAATCTGAGTATATTCCTTACTGCTTTAGTTATTTAATTGATGTTTGAAAGCTTAGTAATTTTGATTCATCATTTCATGTTGTTACATAATGATGGACATTGATAACCCTGTGATGATAGTAACCAAGAAAAGGCATGGGCACTGTTACTGGGCCGAGTCAAGGATGGGGTTCATTTTAAGTAGCCACACCAATAATACCTTGAGTGCTATTGAAGGTAGCTGTCACATGTCTGTTCCTATTTACAAGAACCTTTCCATAGAAAAACTTTTAATACAAATTTACCAAAACAATACAGCCACATTCAAGATGTAGGGCTATTCCCCCTGTACATGCATGTGCGTTTTTGTTGTCAACCAGAGTTGTAACGAGTCACTGATTTTTGTGACTCGAGTCGAGTCGAGTCATTTTAAAGAAGTGACTCGAGTCAAGTCGAGTCATTAGGTCAAGATGGTCAAGTCGAGTCGAGTCACAGTGTGTAGTCGAGTCGAGTCGAGTCAAGTATTTAGCTCGAGTCAATTCGAGTCACAAATATTTGAGCACTGTACAATAAATAAACACAAGAGAGAAAGTCATTTTTGGCTGTTTAGATTTTACATTCGGGCTACTGCATGTGGCGACACCACATTTGCCTCTTAATGAAAATAAAACGGGGGTGCCAGCTGATTGTCATTCAACTAATGGGGACACTGATCAAACCACGTATGTATATGTATACATTATTCGCGAACATTCTAACGTGAAGTGAACAAAAACCGGCACCGGCGTAAGTCATTGAAAATATTTTTCCCAAAGTTTTGCTTTTATTTTTGGGACTCGAGTCTCATTAGCCTTCCTCGAGTCGAGTCGAGTCATTCTGATGAGGGACTCGAGTCGGGTCGAGTCATTTACTTGCAGTGACTCGAGTCGAGTCGAGTCATTTGCCCTTAGGGACTCGAGTCGAGTCGAGTCACCAAAAATTGTGACTCGAGTTGGACTTGAGTCGAGTCATTGACTCGAGTCATTACAACTCTGTTGTCAACCAAACTACAACTGGTGGACCCTGTGTAATGAATACTTAACATACTAATCTAAATGAACATCTTATGTTGGTATTATTGAATAATTTGTAGCATATTTAAAATCAGATCTGTCTTAGTTGTGAATGTTGTTACATGTAATATGGCAGAGGGGTTGCCGAACAACGTTTCAATTGGATACAATTTTGTATTAAAATAATGCTGGTGTTCTGATTCAATTGTGTTTGTGTGTGTTTTTTTAATCATTCTGGTTGTAACACTTTTTTTAAAACTCGATGTTTAAGTCACATTTTTGATACCAGTTCATGATCTGCATTATATAGTTAATTAAATGACATGCCCAATGCAGATTTATGTGGTTCTGTGAACTGGGCTGTAAATTCTTTGCTTTTTTTCTGTTCCATATATGAGTAGACGTATTTTGCATGTACAAAAAAAAACGCTGAATGTCGGAGATTTGCATATGCTTATGGCTATCCAGCCCTATGTTGGCAGTTCCCCTACATATGGATTATTTTTCCTGATCAGATTGGGCGCACAGCCTATAATATACAGCAACTCTTTTTACCCGCTTATTACGCTGTTTTTGTTTTTTTTTTTTGTGTTTTTTGGTGGGGGGGGGAGGGGTTCTCTGTATCTCTCTCTGGGTTTTATTTATTATACGAAAAATTAAAAAAAGGCTGCTTGCCTCGGTTTCTTTCCGCGCTGATTCAAAACATTCAGCCCTACCATGGACAAATTATCTATATATATAAGAGAGAAGTTTACTCGCCCCCGAGACGATGTTTGCTCCTGAAAGGATCCGAGACCGCGGGCTCCCGCGGCCCCAAAATCGCTCCACGTCCGTGGAAAAATGCGGAGGGTGTCTTCCGCCGGGTCGGACGCTTCGGGTCGTCCTGATTTTCCCGTACGGACCGGCGATCCGTTTCGTCGATTTTTCGTGACTGCATTTTGCGCAGGAATTTGCCGTCGTGTGCGCTTTCACGTTGACTGCCTGGCCGCCCCCCGTGCTGGCTTTTCTGCGTGTCTAGACTGTGCGAGGTCAGCGAGGTCAACGTAGGGGTTCCGTTTACGTGTTCTACTCGGCCCTTCTGCGAATGCGTTCACCAAACGTTAGTATGTGGTGACCTTGGTAAAATATTTTTGTCCATGGTGCGTGGCCACCAAGTGTCCCTATTCTTTCATATGCTTCGCTTGCCGCCCCTGCGCCGAGTGCAACGAATACTCAGAAGGACTATACATTAAGTATGCCTTGCGCGGTCTGACCAATCGAAAGTCTACACTGCGTAGTATTTCCGGGCTATGCAAAACTGTCGATGGCAACGCGTACTGCAGCCTGCTCCACACCCTGCAAACGAGGTTGGGTCTACGGTGCTCCTATTTGCATGATTTGAAGCACAAGCATTGAGTGACGTGTATAGTGCTCTGTTGCTTCCATCGTGTGTTAATACAGCTCCATGCTTCCACCAAGGCTGAGCGTTGTGAGTTCGCTGCCCGCCACAGTGTTGCGTTATAATTCGGGGGCCTGTCTGGGATCAACGAAGGATCGATGCATTGCTTCAAACATCGCGATCTCAAACGCAGTCACACAAAAAATCAACAAAAATGTGTCCGATCCGGCGGGAAGACACCCTCCACATTTTTCCACGGACGTGGAGCGATTTTGGCGTCGCGAAAGACCGCGGTCTCAGATCGTTTCAGGAGCAAACATTTCTCGGAGGCCGAGTACAATTTGCTCTTATATAGATGGTTGACCCAAGTTGAATAACAGTTGACTCGACAAGTTCCTCGCAGACGGTCTCGCAAATTGTAAGACGTTCAAGTTTACGTTTGTTGAAGAGTCCAATATACTGAAACTTAATTATGACCTTCTTAATTAGCCTTCGCCTGTGTACTACGGCAAGCCTTTCAAGTACGTTTTCTCACAAATGCCACTGCCTCACAAAATGCCAATTTAACAGACCAACGGGAACATTTACAGACTGTTGCCATGGTACATAATTATCATGGGCGTCAATCGGTGGGGGACGGGGAACCCCCCCCACCCGCCCCCCCCCCCCCCCATTTTAAAGCGGTGGAGACTTTTTGGGTCCCTCCCCCCCCCCCCCCCCCCACTTTTCTTCCCCGAATAAAAATTGTAGCTACTACATGTATAATGATTCTATTACTCAGAATAGCTGATTCAATGACACCAAACTCGAAAATGATGTTTAAAAGATGATCTTTTGCTAAAAAAAAAATTGTTTTAGTGGTCAGAAATTGCCTCAGATCGCACCACAGAAATTGCTTTCTATAACTGCATGTCTTCTCAACTAAATCCCCCAATTACATTCATCTCCCCACATTTTCATCCCCAACTCTACGCCCTACTACGGAAGCTTGAATTGCCTTCCGAGATACCGCGTTACCGCGATAATTTATCGCAGAAATCAGGAAATCAGAGATAATTCCTTCCACGATACCGCGTTACTGCGATAATTTATCACAGAAATCGTGAAATCAAAGATAAATCATTCAACGATACCGCGTTACTGTGATAATTTATCACAGAAATCCAGAAATCAAAGATTAAATCATTCAACGATACCGCGTTACTGCGATAATATATCACAGAAATCCAGAAATCAGAGATAATTCCTTCCGCGATACCGCGTTACTGTGATAATTTATCACAGAAATCCAGAAATCAGAGATAATTCCTTCCGCGATACCGCGTTACTGTGATAATTTATCACAGAAATCCAGAAATGCGATAATTTATCGCAGTAACGCGGTATCGCGGAAGGAATTATCTCTGAATTCAGGATTTCTGTGATAAATTATCATGGTAACGCGGTATCGCGGAATAGGTATCTTTGATTTCTGGATTTCTGTGATAAATTATCACAGTAACGCGGTATCGCGGAAGGAATTATCTCTGATTTCTGGATTTCTGTGATAAATTATCACAGTAACGCGGTATCGCGGAAGGAATTATCTCTGATTTCTGGATTTCTGTGATAAATTATCACGGTAACGCGGTATCGAGGAATACGTATCTCTGATTTCTGGATTTCTGTGATAAATTATCGCGCGGTAACGCGGTATCGCGGAAGGCAATTCAAGCTTCCGTACCCTACCGATCTATGATCGGGTAAATCAACGAGGGATCGATGCATTGCTTCAAATATTGTGATCTTTGAACTATGTTGGGTTGGAATAACGAAGAGTGCATAAATAATAATATGGCGGTTGTTGGCTGTTTGGCCTTGCTTATATTATGGTTGAACCATGCCAACTTGAATAAAATAGTTAAATCGACTTTTTCCTCGCAGGTCTCGCAAATTGTACGAAGTTCAAGTTTACGTTTGTTGAAGAGTCCAATACTGTACCTTCATAATGACCTTCCTCCATGATTCAGACTATGTAATTTTATGGTAACACACTCAACATTTCTATTGCAAATGCCACCTTCACGTTTTATTCCATTATGATTTATTGTCAAAACAGTACAATCAGCCTTCGCCTGTGTACTATACGGTAAGTCTTTCAACTCAGTTTTCCCACATGAACAAACACGACTGCCTCACAAAATGCAACAGACCAACGGGAAAATTTACAGACAGTTATACATGCCAAGGTACATAATTATCATGGGCGCGGCGTCAATCGGTGGCGGACGGGGGACCCCCACCACCAATTTTAAAGCGGGCAATATCGTTTGGTTCCCTACCCCCACTTTTCTCTTCCCCGAATAAAAATTGTAGCCTACTATAATATTTTTGCTCAGAACAGCTAATTCAATGACTCCAAACTCGAAAATGATGTTTAAAAAATGATCTTTTGTTTTACTATATCGTACGTGGTCAGAAATTGCCTCAGATCGCGTCACCGTAAATTGCTTTTCTATAGCTACATGTCTTCTCAACTAAATCCCCCATTTACATTTAACTCCCCACACTTTCAACCCCAACACAAATACGCCCTACCCGATCTATGATCGGGTAAATCAGCTTGTTGTTTTATATTAGTAAGGTGAATTGTTGATCTGAAGTTGTTGAATTCACTTTCACGTTATGCCCACCCACCATGATTCTGCAACCACTCTTTTTACCCGCTTACTAAGCTGGGTTTTTTTTTTGGTTGGGGGTGGGGGGGGGGGGGAGGGGTTCTCTCTATCTCTCTCTGTGTTTTTATTTATTGATTCATTTTGTGGTGAGGAGGGGGCTTAATACGAAACAATTAAAAAAGGAACACTTGAAAATTGTAATCATGACCAATAACAAATACATAAACATTTCAAAGTGCAGGAAAGGACTATCTCTTTTGTAAAATGTTGTAAAAATGTGTGGCTTGTTTGGTTTTAGTTTGTTTGTTATGCCCACCCACCATGATTCTGCAACCCCCCCCCCCCTTTACCGCTTACTACGCTTTTTTTTTTGTTTTTTTTTTGTTGGCGGGGGTGGGGGGGGGGGTTCTCTCTATCTCTCTCTGGGTTTTATTTAAATATTTATTTTTTGGTGAGGAGGGGCTTAATTCGAAACATTTAAAAAAGGAACACTTGAAAATTGTAATCATGACAAATAAAAAAATTCATAAAAATTTCAAAGTGCAGGAAAGGACTATCTCTTTTGTAAAAATGTTGTGGCTCTGAAAAGAGCCGTTTTGGTTTTAGTTTGTTGATTCGATGATTCATTTCTTCGAAGGCTTGGCCGACACTTTCTTCTGCTTGCTCGATGTGCTCTTGCTGGCTGGCTTCTTGGCTGGCTTGTTGGAGGATTTCTTGGCAGATGATTTAGTTGACTTGGAAGGAGTTTTCTTGGCAGCTTTCTTGGGTGACTTCTTCGGCGCGGGCTTTTTGGCTTTCTTCACCATTTTGGCTTTCTTGGCTTTGTCTGCAATCTTTGCTTTCTTGGCTTTCTCGGCTTTCATTTCCCGTTCCTTCTTGGCCTTGATTCTCTCCTTCTCCTTAGCTGCCTTAGCCTTGGCGGCAGCTTTCTCCTTGGTGCTGTCAATCTTGAACGTACCGGCGGCTCCCTTACCCTTGGTGCGGATAAGTTCACCCTTCTCTACACCAGTGTTGAGAGCATTGCGGATACTTTTGGCCTTCTTTTCGACGTCTACCCCACAGTTTTCCTGGAGGTACTTCTTGATGGCTTGAGAAGAGGCGCCGCCTTTGCCCCCTAGAGTGGCAATGGCTTCCTTCACCAACTTGAGAAGGGACGGAGATTTGGTTGCT